TACACTGTCCAAGTCCCCCTCATGCTTTTGTGTTCTGGTCTGAGATAAGCCAATCTTAATCTGCTCAGTTAACAGTTTTACAGGTTTAGGAATAATTAACTATTTTGATCATTGTTAAAAAATGATCTCCATTAAATAAAATTCTTTTTTTCTTTCCTCCAGTCAAATTACTTCTTTTCTTATATAGTAGTAAACTCCATATCTCCACAATATGAGCTGTTTTCATCCTTTTATATGAATCACTGAAGTTACACCCTCCACTAAAGGAGGTAGAAAGAACTAGAAATGCATACAGTAGCTTTGGCACCTCTCAGTATTCCACTTCCATTGTTTTTTATGCTGAATGCAGGACATTAGAGACAGAAAACAGACTCTCCCTTTGGGCTCTCTGCTGCTGCTCAGTTACACAGTTAAGCTACAGTTTGTCTTTTTACCAGAACCTTTATCTCAGCACTTTGTTTGCATTTTTGCATTTAATGTTTCACGTCTTTATTAGTGTCACAGCACTGGGATTCGTAATAATTTGTTTAACTAGTAACTAAATTGTTAGTAATTGTTAATGCTGTTGTGCTCTCACACACCAAATCGAAAAGTTCGAATGCCACGTGGTTAGGAGTGCTGTTCTCATAGCCAGAACTGTGACATCACACAGTGCCAAGAGCAAAAAAAAACCAAAAACTGCCTGAAACAAAACATTTAGCACAGTCTGAAGCATGAGCTTTTGGCTGATTACTTGCAGACTGCTAGTTCTACTTCATGTTGCACAAAACAGTTATTTAATGGTGCTTTGTTCCATGCCTTTAAAGGAAAATCAATCAACTCCCATAGAAAAGCACGTCCCTCAGTGGCTCTGATATGATCAGTTAAACTATTTTCATGAGCTTTCCCACCTTGTGAAACAGTTATATTTGTAAAGATAATATTTCTTTGTGCAAAAAAGGCTACTTGACTTTGCACGCTCTGTGTTCTTTAGGCTTTGAAGTTATATGAGGTCAGGCTTTTACAGAAGCCCTGAGCTGCACAGACAAGCCTGGAGAAGCTGCTCTCACAAGTGTCTGCCTCTTTGTCTCAAGAGTGGAAGCAGATTATTATCTGCACTGTAAACGCACAGAGCAGATGAAAGGTTTTTTTTTAAATTATGTTCATTAAAAACGTGAGTTAGTTCATGCCCATAGAGCAGATACATGTAGATAGTGGAGCTGTGTAGCTCTGATGATGTGGAACTATATCGAACAATCTGTAAATGCAAGACTATGCAAGTCATCCAGTTTAGGAGATAGCTGTACAAATCTCTTAAATTTAACAAAATTTAATGGGACATTTAGATTTAAATTCACAAACTACCCTGGCAACTGTATCATTCTGCAGAAAAGACCATCTAAGACCCTTGTGCTAGTGGCAGGCTTTATAACAATGATGGTGTCTCCACTCGGCTAAGCTGTGATGTTAGCAAAGTGCACACTTACTGGCAGGTGCAGACAGAAGTTTTTACAAGCAACAACTTGCAACAAGGCTTTGGGACTTTTTAAGTATTGGGGTGATTCCTGAAAAGAAACTTTGCAGCTCTGTTTTCTTTCTTTTCTTTCTGGCTCTTTGTTCGCCATAAAGAGAGTGACATCTGGTTTCCTAGCATCCTGTCTAAGGCAGATATTTCTATAGGTGATACTTTTAAAACATAACACAGCGTAGATGACTTAAACCACAGGCCTGGGGAACATATGTCAATCTGTTTTTAAGGAAACCTATGCCCTTAAGTCATTCTGTTTTGTCCATACATGCATTTAATGGCTTTTACATCAGGACTTAACAGTCAGCACTTACTTCTATGCAAAAAAAAAAAAAAAAGCATTCAGCTATTCTCAGTTCTATTTCACCTTGGAGCGTGATCACAGGTAGAGGCTAGCTGCTCTGTAATAACACATAATAACACTTTTTGTAGGAAAGGTGGTTAATAAGTCTTGCAGTCAATTGTTGGGACTGTTTTCATGCACCTGGCCCCTCCAATATGTGCAGTCAAGTCATTGTGTGAGCTCTGACTTGTGATTCATTACAACTATTACTGTCAGCAGAAGAATAGCATGTGGTGAGGTGCACTGCCAGCTCCGCCCAGGGTGCGCCTGTCCCATGATCCTGCCTGCGTCTCTGTTGAGAGCAAAGCCCTTGAGGTGTCCCTCCCTCAGATCAAAGTTTCAGACTTGGCTTACCTCTCACCGCCTCTGTGCTGATGGTTTTCAGGTGGCACAATCGCGCTCTGAGAGCTGCCATTCAAGCTAAGCCATTTGTTTGAATTGCAAACAGAGAACTGGTCGCTTACGTCAGTAGCCAAATGTGTTCCCCACATTTGATGCGTTGTTTAACATGGCATGTTCATGCATGCACCGAAACACTCCAGAATCCGAAATCTGTTTCCACTCAGTCACACAGTTTCATTTTATCCCAGCGACCATCGTGATGAGCAGCCACTAATCAACAAACCACCAGCAGTCAGTGGGCGTACCCCCAACTGCCTTGCCACAGAATTACTGGAAGCATGACACGGTTAAACGGGATTTCACAGGAAAGAAGGCATGGCTGACTAATGAATTTGCCAGTTATTGTATGTGAAACAAAATCTGTAAGAAAAAAGAGCAAAATATCTTATTCTAGGATGTGTTCTACTTTCCATTTGGTTTTCTTGACTAAAAGTGCCTTTCAAGTTTAAACCCCGAGCTTGTTTAGGATTACACTGTGTCCCTTATATCTCGAGTATGTGTGTACATGTGCTCACAAGTAATGCTTTCTTTAAGCTGACGACAGACTGTGGTATGTAGAGTACGTGTCAGTGCCTCTCAGGTGTCATTTTCACTGCAAGCAAATTAAAGGTGTGTAAGTAGGAACAATGTGTGAGAAACATTACTAAATTATTTCAAAAGCATGCTGGGTGCCACTGATGAAACAGGGTGGTATTAATAGTGAGAATATTATAGAACAAATAGCGTGTAAATGTAAAATATGATTCAGGTGAAGTTTTATGGCATTCTTTTGCAGAACCAGAGAGGGAGAAACATCTGGTTCTTTGCTGTCTTTGCATTTTGTGAAACACAAGCATCTCAAATGCTTGTGAAATAGCTAAAATACCTTTGTGATGGAAAACAGGAGGCTGGAACTGGAGAAACATATTTATGTGGGGATCAGTAAACCAGTGAACAGCAGCTGTAAACATCTGGTGTACGCAATACAAGTAAACAAATCAGCATACCTCAAACTCATGCTATTAGGAGTGTTTGAACTAACGCAGCATATTCTAGCCTTTTGTCATAATAGTAATAGTTTTGGGTATTTACTACAGGGTTACAAGTTCAAGTTTTTAAACTAAACGAAGAAGACAGTTACAGTGCAAGAGCTTTATTTTTGCCTCAGGCTCTTAAGCTGTGCGCCATTTTTGCAGCTACCTGTTGTCCTCTGTGGTCACGCCCACACGGAATTTAATTAAGGCCACTGATGACAGCGTGCACAGCAGAACCACAAAGCACACAGTGTTTTCACAGGAGCTCGGCCTACACATTGTCTTAGCATATTAAGCACTCCATATGCTCATATACTGTAGGGTGGGGACAAACTATACATGAGCTATACACTCCAGACATAGTGGATTTGGAGATAAGATAAAAATGAACTGTTACGTAGCTCACCAGCAATTAGAGTGTTATCCTTCACTTTCAGGGGATTTTGTTTGTCAAAAGGACTAAACCGTTTGTTTTCTTTGCATATTTGGACTAAAGCAACACAAATACACCTTCATCCTACTAAATGGGTGTTCCCAGGGACAAGTGCGTGTTTTTACAATATTAAGCATTTGTTTGTTATGTGGTTTGACTAAAATCACAGGTGGGTTTAGCTGACTTTCTCGGGTGAGTTAAATGTATTTGTGTCTAAGTTTGTGGGAGAAAAAAAATGAAAACTACCCCTCAAAAACGAATTACTACAGCAAGTCACGCTGATTAGCATGTGAGCGTAGATTAAAGAGTCATGATCAGCACACAATGACACGTACTTCCAGTGAAAGAGTACTCTCACTGGCGGGAGTGTCTGCCTTATTAGGACAACAAGATGCAACACTATTGCAGCAATAACTGGCAAGGACAGTTTAAGGAGATGATCCACACAAGGGCACATTTACTGGGATTCCTACTGCCTCATTCAGAGAGCACAATTAACTAGAACTGAACTGAAATATAAGTAGGCGATATATCAAAATAATAGAATAGAATAGTATACACATATATAACAATATCTACAAAATAGAATGCAATGCACTGCAGTAGATTCAAGAGAAGAGGTCACATCTCTCGGCTCAAACATAAGGCATGATGCACTGATCAAAACAAACCAAACAGAACAGATACTATAAAAATGAGTGGGACAGACTAGAATACAATAGAAGAGATGGACAGTTACAGTGAATAACGTTGGCCATGAGTTATGTTAGTCAAACCATCTGAATCTTTCTGGAATTTCCAGTGTGTGTGTGTGTGTGTGTGTGTGTGTGTGTGTGTGTGTGTGTGTGTGTGTGTGTGTGTGTGTGTGTGTGTGTGTATTATATAAACTTTAGTTTATAAAAGCCTGCATGACAAATAATCTCCGTATTTTCTGTTTCCGTTGCCAAGGCGACAAGTTGACTCAGTCACGGATGTTTTGAGTTGTGATATTTTTGTCCCTGACTGGTCAGCCTTGGTTTCATTTTCTCCAGTGTTTGGTCATAATCACCAGACTTGGCCACGAGGGCAGAGTGGAAATGTTTCCTCATTGGCGGTTGCTAGGCTTCACAGTTTAGCTGTGTGGCATCCAAGGAGAAACCTCAATAAAGGGGAAGTTTTATGCCCCCCCCCCAAAAAAAAAACGCTGTCTCTCTCTGGCTTTCAGCTCCACCTTGTCTTTCAGTTGAGACTTTCATTTTGAGCCCTGCTTCATTTCCCCGATGCTTCATTTAGCACATCTTCTTATCTCATCTTTCATTTCAGGACCGTTGCAGGCAGCTTAGACTCAGCTTACAACGTCGAGACCAGACAGGCAACACCTCACAACAGCACAACAGTAAGGTACAACTTCAAAGCAGTTTTAAAACTATTTGTTAACTGAGAGAAAGAGAGGAATGCAGAATGGGAAGTTTGATATATACATATGAGGGTTTGTGTTTGTTTTTTTATACTGAATGTAGGAGAGCACCATAGAATTTGCGCCGCCGCAAAAACCTGAAGGGCAGGAAGACGAAGTTGAAGTCAGACCTCACATAGAAGTTGAAGTCATCAAAGTATGTGAGCTTGTTTTGCTTGCTCATGTTTATTGATAAAGTTTGAGCAACTCAACACTTCAGTTTTAACTGAACTACAGTCATATTATCTAACATGCTGCGGTCACTGTGTCATCCAGTTTTACCTCGGAAAAAACCCACCGGAAGAAAGCGTCAAGATGCTTACGGACGAGGTGTCCCAGATTCAGGAGGTCAGTGTGTGGACAAGTCAAAGCTGAAAAGCTATTGGTGGAAAGCAGAGTGTGTTTCTTTAAGCACAGCGTTCAGCTGTGTCAAGGGTATACCTGTGGTTCTGCATAGTACACATCTTTTTAATGCCTGATGTGTTTTTGTATTTAGGTGAGGTATTGTCTGAAGACTCTGAGACAGCAGATGGCAGCCAGGCAGAATGGCAACAACAACCAGGTACACACCCTCTGCCTCAGAAACAGTTCAACAGATTATCTTTGGTCCGGCAATTTGGAAGAATAGTGATTTTAATGCCTTAAAAGGATCAAAAGGTTAAGTATATTACAAGTTATGTATATATATGTGCTGCATATAAGGCTAATTTCCTCCTCTGACCAAACAGTAAAGATCTACAGTAAATATCTACCAATTTTACAAGATCTACATGACATTTATAAAATAAAATAAAAAGCTTTTTTAGATGAGCTTTGCCCTTAAAATAGGTGGCAGCATCTAAGTAAAATGCAAATGACTGAGCAGAGTTAGTGGTTAACAATAGCCTCCATATAAATGATAGAATATTTAAGCAAGAGTTACAACTGGAAAATTACTTGCCTAGTTTAGATGTTATTTGGCAGGGTTTAGATGTGGGGCTTAATCATTCATAGATGCTCTGTTGCTTGGGAGAGCTTAGAGATGACTATCATTATTTATTTGAATGCAATTTTTTTAAGTTGCAAAGACAGAAATATCTGCCTGTATCCTTCAGTTTGATACCAAATGCATATCAGATAAAGAAGATGTTATTATTGAGCATAAACTTGTAACTGCATTTGAACGTGGGTAATTAGTTGATAGGTGTATTTAGTGCAATTTAATTTAATGTAATGTTTTTAACATGGGACTATAGAAAGTGACCTTTGAGTGCAGTCACTTCAGGACCTGCAGCTTTTAGAGCTTCATAGGTTGCTGCTTGGTCTTTGTGAGTGTTGAACTGTGCGTGTGGGTCACCTTCTCTTAACCTAAGAGGCTTACGAGACCTGCATGGCCTTTAAAGCAGACATATGGAATACCCAAATTATGTAATTATGTAATTATGTAACTAACACAAACACAGCGTATCACAATATTAATTGCGTAGAACTGAACTGTTCCATTTTATGTGCAGCTTTTTCCGCACTAATTCCTCCTCCCATTTGCTCCTTTTTCCTATTCAGCGTCCAGCCAATGGCTTCAGAGTCAAAGCACCCACCAGCCAACCAGGTGTCATCAATGCCAACGGCGTCCACACCGATGCTTACGTAAGCTCGCCATAGTTTGCAGAATTATCTGACCTCTTCTGAGGCGCTCCCGTGTGTAGCCTTTATCATTTGATTATTCATCAGTTTGAGATGAATGAAATGGGGAAATGGAAGAAGTCACTTTCAGCTGCAGTTCATTTGAATGCATTCAAAGTTTTATTCAAATGACAGTCGTGATGGAAAAAAAATGCCTGTCCCTGCAGCAGTTCCTCATTGATTCAAACCAGACAACTGCCTGCTTTTGCAGAGAAAATGCTACCCAGGCTTTCATCAGCTCATAACAAAGCTTACCACACACACACAAGATATTGTCTTTCCCATGCATTATTCTCGATTTGGCGGATCATAACAACTGCTGTAATTCAACACCATCTACCAAGCAAGCAGTGTTGGCGCTGCAAGAAAGCTTGTGTGTGTTTGTGTGTGTGCATGCTAGTCAAACCCAGTATCTTCTATGTATCGTATATAGGTAAGGTAGGATCAATTTACACTTCCCTTTAAGTGGTTTCAGATTGTATCACAGTGCATTAGATGTGTTGTGTCTCCGGTAGAGGAAACCATTCTGTCTTCCCAAATAGGAGCCTTGAGTTAAAAGATTATCTGAGTAGAGTTTAACAGCTCCTTGTCTAAATGATTTTGTTACCTCAGGCTAGACCATGCAGCCTTGTAAACACAAAGCAAATGGCCTATCAGCAGCCTCTTTTATCAGTTTGTTAGCCCATGTTGAGCCCTCTGGTTCAAGAGGCTTGTGAGATTAAATCTAATTGAGCACTTTCTTTGTGTGTGTGTGCACTCTCAGGTTGGGGATAATCAGGAGGAGAGTGCGAGGCTCAGAGAGGTGACCAAACGCCTGTATGCTCAGCTGAAGGAGATGGAGAAGCAGCATCAGGAGGAGATCGACATACTGCAGGTCTGTATCAGGAGATGAGTAACGTGACACAGCTTCCTGTCCACTGCAGCTATGACTCACCCCTCTGATGCTCTCTTGCTCCTTTAATCGTCCTTGTTATCTGTCAGTGTTATCTTTGGATTTCATCCCTCATCTTGTGATCCTCCACTGTTTGGATCTTTGCTCTGCAGTACATTCATCTGTCAGGACATGTAGGGGCACCGCCCGAAGACAAACACTTTACTTTACATGTGCAATTCTTTACTGTTAGTGACTCCAGCGAAACAAAATTACGCAACAGGAGGATATGAGACATTATTTACTAGGAAGTTATCTAAATCATTAATTTTTTTTGACTGAATTCAGTTTAGACAGAAATAGCCGAGAACAATACATTTAAAAACAAAACATACAGTCACTTATCAAGCTAAAGGGGATCAATTATCCTGATTTTTTATATCAAATGTACTTTGTTACAATGAAAGTTTCAAGTGGTGAGGTCAAGTATGTACAAGCAATACCTGTGAGCCAATAGCTCAGGCTTTAGACTGCATTGAATGCTCAGTTTCAGCATTTTTGTACTCGTAGCTCTGTGTGGGATCATAGAGGGAGGATATCCTTAATATGGTCATCCAGGGCACACAGATCTGCTGTTTAACCTCATGTTTGTGATCAAGAACACGTAAAACTACTCTAGTAGAGTCCAAGAATATATTTGTATGCATAACAGGTTCTCTTTAATGCTGCCAGGAGAAATTAATAAAGCTTAGAATCATTAATTTAGCATTTCTAAGAAGCCCTAAGGAGACAGATTGGATACCTGTCCCGAGGTATACGCCGCCTCTCACCCAGTGACTGGGACAAGCTTCAGAATAGATGCATGATTTCTGAGTAGGCACTGTTTTGCCTCAACTAGTTCAACACTTTGAACATCTCATGTAACAAAAAGCAATAAAAAGGTGCAAATAAAATGAAACTGGGGGGATTCCAACTAAGCCGCATTTTCTACTCAGGTGGCAACATAAGTGAAAAAAATACGTGGAGTTACAATTTGTTAATTCAGCTATCTTAGGGATACTAACTGTGGCAGTGAATCGGCCTTATCAAATCAATGAAAACCAGACTCAGGTCAAACTTTATATTATAGCACACCAGAAGGAAGTTCTCACACTTTGATTTTCCTCTCAGGCTGAATCAAACGAGTATCAGGCACAGCTGGCTGAGCAGACAGAGCGGCTGCAGAAGGCCGAGGAGCAGTCTGCAGAGAGAGGTCAACAGGTGGAGGAGCTGCAGAAGCTGCTGGGAAACATGGAGAACGAGAACGGCATCCTCAAAGACAAGATGGCTGCAGGAGAGGCGGAGCTGCTGCAGCTTAAAGCAGGCGGAGAGGAAGCAGGAGAGAAGGAGCAAAGGTAAGACTGCACGCAGACTCATAAAAGAAGAAGTTTCTAACAAACCAATAATGAGGAAAGGCTCTGCCCAGAGAGCATCTTATAAAATCTTATCTGATTGATGTTGCGTTATTTAAGGGAAAGCCACTTTTATGTCCTGCAGTAAAAGAGAAATACATCTTTTACTCACGTGCTTGACTGTATATAAGCTTTCTCATGTATCTGCTTTCAGGTGTGCAGAGCTCGAGAAGGAGGTGGCTGTCCTGAAGGAAAAGATTCATCATCTTGACGACATGTTAATGAGTCAGCAGAGGAAGGTCCGCCACATGATCGAACAGGTATTTATGCACATAAGGATGTTGCCTGGTGGTGCATAGTGTACACAGACACACACAGACTTGCAAGCTGCCCATAAACACACACACACACACACACACACACAGGAAGCCACTAATGAGAAAATGTGATTTCTGAGGAGGCGGCCACATGAAGTAGAATTGATTTGGGGGGATGAAGCCAAGCGGAAGCATGTGGTGAAGCAGAACCGCTGGTGATAAATAAGTGATGATGCATCTGCTTCAAGCAGACAAGCATCTTGTGTTATTCATACGGTCTCTTATTGTTTGTTTGTTGCATCTATAACGCAGCTCCAGAACTCCCGCACGGTTCTCCAGGAGAGAGATCGAGCCATCAGGGATCTGGAGGAGAAGGTGGCTTTCCTGGAAGCAGAGGTGAGGAACTTTCTAAAAAAAAATGCAAACAGGCTGAATCACTGAATTTATCTCTGTTTTCTTTTGTTTTTAAAGCCTTTCTTTGCTCAAAAGATGATCAAAAACAGCTGTAGCTTTCTTAAATGAGCTTTTTAAATCTAGGAGTCTATTATCCCCTGTGTTGTTCCTTAAACATGGCACACATAAAAGAAGGTGGTGCTCAAAAAAATGCACTTTTTGCTCCTGGCTGTGCCCAGGCATGTTAGAAAATTTCGTTGGCCTATTATTTCAATGAAATTATATTTTTTGCAATTATAGATTTACAAGATCATCAGAATAAATTAGGTGTTGGTCACAGAACCATAAACAGACTATCGATGTCAGGTTTTTGTCTTTTTATGGGCTTTGCCAACAGTAGGAAAATATAAAATGGCTTTGTTGTTTGAAGTAAAGCTGTGCCTGTGTCAAGCCGAAAGAATGCGCCGTTTAACGTCGTTAATCCCGTTCCTGTTTACAGAACAAAGAAATGCATGACCACATGGAGTACTACCTGGCAGGCCAGGATCTTCCACCCTCATCTACTGAGAACAAACCAGAGGTTGTTTACAGGTGAGCCATCACTTCCTAACTTACAGTCCTTTCTATTAGTCATCCTACAGTCAGATGTCTAAAATAATCTCTTAACATTTCTTTTTCTCCCCCACCTCTGTGCAGCAAACCGCTGACACCGACAACTCAGAGCAGCAAAGCCCTCCCATTCATCAAAGTCATTGAGATCAAATCATGATTGGAGAGACAACCAAAGGAGTTAAATACTGTGTACATATTTATATATTTAACCATATATGTAAAATGCAGCTCTGCAGTGATTTTCTTTTAATTGTATTTTTATAAAGGTTGTTTTAGCAGACCTCACGCACATTCTGTCGATACCTCGTTGTTGCTTCTAGGGCTGTTCTTTGTACCTTCTTTTGGTTTCCTCAAAACAAACAGGGATCCATGCAGAATCTGAATAAGCTGTTTCAACAGGTCAAACTATAAGGCGTGTCAGTTAAACGCTGTTGCTAGTCTAGGGTCAAATGCACGAATAATCACAGTGATTTTAGTGTTTTCATGATCACAGTCACTCTCGGGGTTCAGGGTCAAATTCCTGTGCTTTGCACCACGTTGCCAATAGCAGGCGTGCGGTTATGATGTCAGCAACAAAATTTGTTTCACGCTTAGCTGAGAGATTGGGTCAATCGTCATACTATTTTGATTTGTTTGACCTTGTTTTAGCTGCGCAGTGACAGACTAACTGCCTCAACGTGCTTATTGTACAGGCCAAACATGTTTTGTGCTAAAAGGTTATATTTAATTACGCTTATTTTTGCTTGATTATTAACATAATTATGCATTGTTCGCATTGACTTTGCTGCTTCTTCCTGTCAAATACCTGGTTGCACTCCAGGATGCATATTTTTAGAAAGTTACTTTATACTGTGAAGAGTGTAGATACCCCGAAGTTCAGTCTGCGTCACTTTTATGTAAACTTTGTCCAGTTTTATTTAAATTTAATAAAAGAAATGGTTCATTTGACTCAGTTGATTTACAGCGCTTTTTTTTTTAAATCACGGGTTACAATATCCTTCCTCTATGACCTCACACCGCCACCTAGTGGAAATACAGGGACATTAATTATAAAAAAAAAAGAGGGTGGGAAAGTTCCCTCAAAACCACAAAAAAACTTTTATCTTCATATAAATACACGTCACACGTATGAATTTAATACGTTAGCATAAATATCTTACATTTGTACATTAATCAAACATTTGTATTTACAATTTCAACTCTCAAGAAAAAATAATAAATTCAGTTGACTTGCTGCTTTTACAAAAATGAAATGAAACAATTGTTTTCCTCTGCACACATTAAACAGCAAACACACACATACAGAAAAGGAAAAAAAAAACTCCTGTGACAGCAAGACTTTAACAACTGCATCATTTCCTAGATCAAAAATATAGAGGATAAGATGTCTCTCGCTGTCCATTCTGAGCTTATTTAAAGCTCATTTTTAAAGCCAACCAGTCAGTCTGCTATAACTTTTTATTTCCCCGTAGACTGACCGCACACCATACAACCATCCTATGACTGCATCACAGCGTGCTCTCCAGTGTGTTGTAGTTGTCTTTGAAACTTTTGAGCTCCAGAAAGTGTTTGGGCCTCTTGCTGCGCTGGCCGGTTGAAGGCAGGTAGGTGACCTGGATGGTGGAGGGAGTGCTGCGGACAGGAGAGCCTGTCAGGTCCTTGGCTGCGGACTGGTGATGCTGGTCGAGGCTGGTGGTGCTGGAATACGCCTTCACGCTGAGGGTGATAAAACAGATGATTTCAAATGTACTGCATAAACTGACAATGCAGACCGCATCACTTGCTGCAACAGAAATAAGACTGGTTTCAAGTCTGGACCAGTACGGTGACACTTACACGTCAGCCAGTTCGTTTAGAGCTTGCTGATATTCAAGAAACTCAGGTTCCCCAAACACCTGAAACAAATATTTAAATCCACATCAGCAGATGAAAGAATTAAACTCGTTATATTCTTGTCTTTTATGAACCCTCTGTGCCCCTCTGTCCTTCTAGTGAGTGTCAGATCACAGTTTACTTCATAACGTCAGGTGATGAGCAACCACAACTTTTTATCTGAAGGAGGCTGTAAAACTTTGTAAAAAGACTCGATGAGTCAAAGAAGCAGGATCACTGTCATCACGAGGATTTCCAGAACTTTTCTGTCAATAAGAGTTGCTGATTCAATAAGTGCATGCAATTAGGCCATGTTACTGAAACTTTGTTTGAAGTGGCTTTAACGTTGTTGGACTCAGACGCTTAGCAAATAAACTTTCATGTGATGTGAACACGTAATCAAAGAGGAGACAAGGCTTGAGTTGAGGAGGAGGAGGATGAGATGGAGATTAGAGGGAGAAGAGAGAGCAGTGGTGGACGTGGCAGATGAAGAAGACGTCTTAAATGGTCCTAAATAGTTTGAAAGCAATAACTGCAAAATCTAAATTAAGATTATATTTAGAATTAACACTTTACGGTAGCGTTAGATTTTTCCATTCTTTCTGAATTCTGGAACCTGAAACATTCTAATAAAGTTCTGTTGGGATACAGTAAAATACAGTAAAAACATTTATGCACCCCAGTCCCATGACGAGCGCTGTCGTAGCCTTCAAGCAAACGGTCAATAAGTGCACTGCGGCTGCTCTTTATCAGAGAGTGGGAGTTGCGCAGCTCAACTAGCCAGCTCCTGAAGCTGCGTCCTGTAAATGCGCTGGGGCTCCCACTTATCTCCTGCAAAGGAATTCCTGTGGCAGAGAGAGGAAGGAAGACAAGTTGAAGGTCAGGAAAGACGTTTTAATGCTTTAAATGGAACAAAAACAAAACAAGAACAGAATTAAAAATTATTTTACAATAATAAAAAAAAAAAGCTGAGACACAATAGAAAATTCAACTGAAACCACAACAAAAAGACTTGTGAATCACTAAAACTCTATATTTCACTCAAGCTTGAAACTTTTGTGACACCACTGTTTGGCCAAAATTACAGAGAAAGCTGAGAAATGCATAAAACCACTGAGTGGACATATTACAGCTAACTGGCAAATGTTTACCTTTAATATGCCCAACAACGATTATATCATCTACTGATATAAAATCAGAAATATAAACAGACTCAGAGAAATCAGGCTGTCAGGTGGCACAGCAAGAACTCATGAACACGGCTGCAAACCACCACCAGTCAACTCAGTGGTAAGCTGCATCCACAAAGCCAGTTCAAACTCTACTGTGCAAATATGGGCCTGAACTGCTTTAAGTTGGACTCAGCTGAAGCATAAAATGATCCTGTCTTCTTTTGGATATTCTGACACTTCCGCTGGGATAAAGAGGAAAGGTGCTATCCAGGTTCAAAACCCATGTCTGTGCAAGTATAGGGGTACATTACTGCAACAGCACAGCTTGAATATGTAAGACGGCTTCATTAATTCTCCTGGACAACATGTTTTGGAGCAACACCATGTTGAATCTATGCTAAATCGCCTTTTGCATGCCGGTGCAGTAAAAGAGTTAGGGTGCTGAACTGGCCTCCCTGCAGATCAGATCTGTCACCCACTGAAAAAAGAATGAAAAGGGTAGCCCTGAACTCTACAGCCAAAATCCTATATAATTCAATAACTCAAAACTACAGCAATATAAGTAAAACACTTGAAAAAGATGATGTGGGTTTGGACAGCTGTGAACAAGCTCAGCATGTTAAAAATGTGCTCCTTGAATCCATGAACCTTCTCTGTGGTCTTCCTTTGTTCCTCCTGCACCTATACCTTCCAGTATATCCACTATCCCTCCTCTGCACATGTCCAACATATCTCAGCTTTGCTTCTATAACTTTGTCTCCAAACTGCTCAACCTGAGCCGCATTCTCTCTTGCTTCTACCTCTCCACCTGCTCCCTCCTTTTACTACAGATCACGATGTCATCTGTGAACATCATAGATCATCAGAGACTCCTGCCTGACCTCATCTGTCAACCTGTTGATCACCACTAAACTGGAAGGGGCTCTTAGCCGATGAATACATTTAAGGAACAAATTGTAACTCTCACCTGAGTCACGGATTGCATCCAGAGCTTTCATTCTGTACAGGTAGTTGTAGCAACCTTTGAAATATAAGATATCAATTTGTTACGTTTAAAAAAATAACTAAATAAAAAGGACAACATTTGCTCAAAATGAGTTTAAAAAGCTGACTGACTTATCTGTGATGCCCGCTTCAGTCTGTCGTCTTCTTCTGACAGGAGCAGAGGTTCATAACGTATCTCATGAACTTTGGACAGTCTGGACTCAATCTCCTCCCTCAGACCCTGTAGATTAATTCATAAAGAATTTATTAATATTAAGGCACAAAAAGTTAATAATAATAATAATAACAAAACAGTAAAGATCCATGCCTCACCTTTGGTGCATTGTGGCCAATAGGTACATGAGGCCCTCGGCGGGATCTCATTGCAAAACGCATGATCTGCCTTTTGACGAATATAAACAGCAATACAAACACCTGAACACAAAACCAAGCGTGACAGGATTGAGGTTAAAACTTATCATAAACACACCACCGTTCACCAGGTATCGAGCTTTTAGTGTAACTTACTCACCAAGCTTCCATAGGCCATAACCAAAACAACATTGACTCCAGATAACGGCGATGACTCTGCCATGCTGCCTGTCAGTGCTTACAGTCTATGCGACGACGAATCACTCTACAGCTTCAAAGTATGCTTCGAAAAAATAAAATATTAGCAACTGAGCTGACCCTTGTCTTTTTCTTCATGGGCATCATGCGCTAAGATATGCTATTTAGCTTTCAGTTAGCTTTGCACTGTGAGGGCGGGGCCAGAGCTGATTTCCGCTTGTGAGTGTTGGATTACCGTAAGAACCATGCAAGAAGGACACGCTAAACAGACTTCCTGTCGTTATATGATGCTTAGGTTATTATAATTACCTATTACTAAAGTACAAACAAAGAACTGCAAAAGAAATAAATAAAAAATAAAGACTTTTTTGCCCCCCCCCCCAAACAACTAAGTAAAATTCATCTGTAAACACAACCTGCCTAAAAGGGCACAATTTATATCATATACACATTATAGGGCTTCGGAGTTGACGTCACGCCGCAATGCATTGTGGGAGCGCGGCGGCATTTTCGGGGTCTACGAATCAAATCAAACACACTGTGTTGGAACGACGATTACAAGATGCTTAAAAGCTGCTCAAAAGAGAATGGACTGTATAGAGACCGATTGCGTCCAGAGGCGAAGCGGCGGTACTTGCAGAAAATAGCGTGCATTCGAAATGTGGACCCGTATGAAATACGGCCGTGGAGTAGAAACCCTGAAGACCAACCGCTATTGACGTAGCCTGACATATTTCATACCTTATCTGTGGAGTCAGCGCGTACAAGTCGTCATTCAAACAAAGGTAAGTCAGCTCGAGTACTGCGAGTGAAATGCGTTTGATTTCCCTGCAAACATTCACATTAGTGCAGCATAAATTCATTCATGAGGGGAAATTACAGTGAGAACATGTGGAGGCTGTTAGAGGGATAACATAGTGAGTTCAGTGCATTGATGAGACACTGTCCTGAAGGATTTAGTTATTCTTTATGGTTAAAGAAATTGCAATGATTTATTAATGTTTATTATAAATAATTCTAATTATACATCTTGCTTCCATGTTTGTATCTTGTGTCACTAAAAATACATTTTATGCTTTCTCCATCTCTAAAGTGATGACATCCTTGCATTACATACTTTAGGTTCATTTTCTGCAGGCAGGTTTCTGACAGAGAACAGACAGATTTAGATATAACCTGCAGCGTTCTATAGATGGACACATAAAGAAATGAAAAATGACATGTATGTGCTAACTTTCTAAACACTTTGTTACATTTATGATAAAGTAGATTAAACACATTTACGTCGACCTTGGCTCATAGTTCTTGTCTTTAAATGAACTTTGTTGTGTGTGCTTCAGGTCCTGCACTCAAAGACTGAATGAACCAGCATTGCAGCCATGGGTCACTGTGAGCATCACAGGGAAGGTTGAAGCCGCCCGCTGCACCTGCATGGCCGGAGTCGCAGAGACCTGCACCATGTCAGCTGCTCTTCTGTTTAATGTAGAAGCAACAGTGTTGATCCGTGGCACAAGGACTGTTACAGATGAACCTGCATACTGGGTTTTGCCTGGTAATATGACCAAGATACAGCCAGAGGTTGGCCATAAGATAGACGACTTCTCTTCAGCTGCCCAAAAAAAGGCTCTTGATCAAAACATACACAGACCATCTGTAGTGACAGGTAAAAGGAGCCGTCCTCAAAAAAGAAATCCCACCTGCTACTGTGGAGGAGTTGTCACTGCTATAATGCCATCATGTTTTATCTAGGGGTCTAGATTTATGCCTGTAGTGCACTGCTGTGTAAATAATTTGCATTTACTGAATATGTACTGACTGAGTCCCGCTGTTCAAAAGTTGAATAAAGAAACTAAATTATTTTGCCTTTTTTTTTTTTTATTTAAACCACTTTATAGAACATCACATCAGTTACAGTGTAGAATCCATGTCATTTACAGTTTACAAATGACAAAATGTTTACACCAAATCATGAGTGTTTACATGATATCACCCACTACTAACATTACTTTATTTACTGTATCTTTTGAAAAAATAACAGCACAAGACTTAAGAATATTTAACAGGAGCAGGTTTCATTCTTCTCTGGTTTTATTATCACACTGTTCACCAAACGCAGCAAACCTTCACCATCTTATCCAGGAGGGTCACCTCTTCACCCTCACATGGAAGAAGTAATCATGATTGGCATGGTGGTATGTTTGAAGCAGGTCCCTCGTGTAGCGCTGGAAACCAGTCATGATGTTTCATCCATTTCATCGGCTGGTTTGCTGCAATAATGCCAAATAATTAGCAACTCTATAAATAGAAGGTAGTTCTGCAAAATCACTCAGTAGGATGTTTGTTCTAATTTGCTATGAGCTCAGAGCGCATCGAAAATGAAACTAATAGGCTATAAAGAGTGATATGAACATATTTAGAACTTACCGGAATGAAAATGTCTGGAGCACCAACAGATATTTGGAGATGGAAGAGAGCTGCACGTCAGCTCGTCTCACAGCTGCTCTCCAGGCTGGACGCCTTCGTTTGGTAACATCGATACACGAGCTGCCTCATGTCGCTTCCAGGTTGGGAAAGCATAAAAAGACAATCCAACCTTATTCCCGTGCCGGTCGTAAGATCGAACATTGCAGCCGAGCACACAGCAAGTACGAACCATGGCTATGCTATCGCTCCTAGCTTAGACCCCCAAAATGGTGAATCGGGCCAAAATCCTTTCCACGCCCACCCCCGTGACATCACGCTCCGAAGCCCTATATTACTGTTGGTGATATTTGTAACACATTCAATGATCTATGTAGAATGTAATACTTATACATATTATTTTTCATTTTTTGTTTATTATTATTATTATTATTAGTAGTAGTAGTAGTAGTAGTAGTATACAACACCATGTAAAAGTATTGATCTAGCCCTGTGTGAAACAGACGCATAACTAAAAATCTAAAATACATTAAAATGCAGTATATTAGGAAAAATAATTCTACTATACTTGAAAGTTAATATTTGGTATAATCACCTTTAATTCTTCAACACAGCCTGAACTCTTAGGTTGTGAACAACCACTTTGTACCTCTACTTTTGTACTTTGTACACTGAACACAGTCTGAACCAAATATTTCAAATATGTATTTATCACTCCACCAGACCTGGTTCCCCTGACTTTCAGTCCAGGTCTTGTGTAATTTAGCATATCTCAAACTTTGCTCCCTCCTTTCCTTCATTAAGAGTGACTTGTTGACAGCCACCATTTCTGAGGCTTCACGAACAGTAGATGGATCATCTGAAGGACCAGATACATCTCTCAGGTCCTGTGTCAGATCTTTTCTGGATTTTTTCTTAAGGACGTGGCTTTTAGATATTGCTCATCTGCTGAAGATATTTTTTTAGGTCTTTCACTGCTTCACTGCTTCTATCCTCCTCATATCCAGTTTCCTTAAAGATGTTTATAGCACAAGCACATCATGCTGAGATATGCCAAGTTTTCTGTTAGAAGCACTTTGGGAATCACAAAAATTGTATTTTATGTCTGTCAATTTTTGAATAGATTCAGCTAAACAAATGGGAATAAGCCATGTGTTTGACACAGGCTGCTGGAAACAAAGTGTCTAAAGATGCAATTCACAATTGGTTCTTTGTTGTGTGTTGTATGTTGACAAGGGCTGGACTAGAAATGAGTGAAAAAGCAGCCAATGTCCGGAGGACAACTTTGAAAGACATCAGAATGCCTGGAGAACTGGTGCTCACACATTATCACAGCATTTATGCATGCATATACTACATATGAGGGTGTTATTATGAGTATACTTGTGCATAAATATCGACTATTACTTGTTCATTTACACATTAGTTGAATATATTATTATTATTATTATTATTATTATTATTATTATTATTATTATTATTATTATTATTATTATTATTACTTCTCCAGCTCTGACATGTCACGTCTCTCCGCTGACGGTATATTGCTGATCACGTGGTGTGGGTCCAGTTTCCTCGAAGCGCTCTGCAAACCACGTGACGCAGCTCTCCGTGGTGTCAGAGTGGAAAAGAAACAGGTAAATTCACCGTCTCTCGCTTATTGTGTGAGCGAGTCGGCTCGCTTTATTTTTCTCAATATAGCTTATAACACTCGGGGTTCAGGATTTAAATCCTGTCTTAAATCCTACTCCGGAGGTCGACAGCGAGATTACTTGTCGGCCGGTTGTGTAGCAGTGTGTAATACTGAGCCGGGTTTCTGGTCAGTATTGCCTGTTATTTATTTTCATTTTAGCGGCCTATCGGCCTACCCTCAGCCTCGGCGGTTTTTTACGCCTTCAGCCCGGTCCGTGAGAGTACGCCGGGGCCACTGGTTGTAAATGTTGCAGAGCGGTGTCGCGGCTGCTAATTCGCTAACGTGGCTAATGTTTCTTGGCTAACCAAGAGGACGTTAGTTTGTTTAGTTAGCGTGGCTATCAGTCGCTAGCAGACAACCGGTGGCATCGGAGTGGCATGGGCGTATTTTTTTCTTCTTTGGTTCACCCGGTCGAACCCGAAATCTCCGTTAGTTGTTAGCGAGCTAATTAACTTGTTTGCTATTAAGCTAAGTTAGCTAGCGACGCAGCTTTGTGTAGGTAGGTATCACTGTTTAGTTAGCAGGTTAGCCGTTAAAGTTAGCCTCGTTGTCGCCATGAGGTGAAGCCGTGAGAAGCGGAAGCCCACCGAGACTTGAAAGCTGGATGCTTTCCCCTCAACTATTAGCTTGCTGGCTAGCATTTTGGCCATGTGGCTGGATAGTAGATTTGGATATGGTCGACGGGCCCTGTTTTTAGGCTTGTTTGTGCGCGAATCAAAACAGGGTTTTACGTAACATGTGCAAGATTAAGGAATCGATAGCAAGGTTAACAGTACTGTGTGAGATTGTATGTTGTCTTTCCCCATTTGGTGTTCTCCAAAGTGTATATATGTCTGTTTTTTGTTGCTGTTTTTTTTAAAGACTTTCGGTTGTTTGGTAATCTAGATTTACCTCAGCATTAAGGCTGTTTTGATGCATAAAGTGTTGCATCATGTTTGAGTGGTAAATAAGTTAGTGCTCGTTTTCCTTGTGTGCAGCTGCACCCAGTTTACTAAGGAGCTCTTCCCTTTTTTGTCCTCCCTCGGGTGGCCTTGGTTTAAGACATGGTCTGGGAACAAAGGTGATATCACTGCCAGCTTCCAGCAAACCATTAAGCAACCAGGCAGTTTGAGGAAGTGGTATCGTACCATATGTGTGCGCGACATAAGTAGGTCACAGTCACAAGCCCTTCTAACACTCCTTCTCACCCTTCTCTTCTCAGGTGTTATTCCTTTGTAAATACTGTTATTTGTATATACTGTAAATGATGACGTCCATGGGCGGGAACCGAGCCCGGGGCAACTGGGAGCAGACACAGGGCCAGACACAGAGCCAGACACAGCACAAGCAGAGGCCTCAGGTACCCTCTCACACTCACCACCTGTCACACTGCCCAGATGCTCTGTGATATGCACCAAGGTTGAATATACTCAGACAAGGGTTTTTTTTCTTTTCTTTTTTCAACTCGTAATTACATACAAGTTTTTAGCTACAAAGTTACATACTTGTTACAGTTAGATTTGAGATAAGTATAACTTTAAAAATTCAGTCAAAACTCACTTTATTTACTGAGTAAAGGGCTTTTGCAGATGATGCCATCCTCACTATAAAAGCTTTGGATAAGTTGGGGTGATGCTGCTGAGTAATTACAAGTCGAGAACAAAATCTCTGATTGTGAGCTTTTGGAATCACGGCTTCAGTCTGAAAACCCAATAGGGAACACAGTCTGACCAACTAATATGCAGGTTTGATGATAACAGTAAAAAGACGGTGGTTACTCTTTGTGGTATAGTAGTTGTGTGAAAAGGGTTATTTACAAGTGTTAGCATTTTTTAAGCACTGTAGTTGTTGTTGAAAATGGTAAATTAGTTGCAATTAGTAAACCTGAAGTGGATGCAAAGGTGCTTTCAATTTTTAATAATAACTTTAGTGCTACAGATTCTATTAACATCTAAATGTTATGTTTTCTCAACAATGCAAATCCTGTGTTTGCTGATGCAAATCTTGGATCTTTTTCACTCTCTTGGAACAGGCTACCGCAGAGCAGATCCGACTCGCACAGATGATTTCAGATCACAATGATGACTTTGAAGAAAAGGTCAAACAGGTGAGCAGATGCACTTTCTTTTTGTCCTGCTGTTTAGGTGTTCCTGCTCCTTTTGTAGTTGCACCACTTCATTTATTGACACGTGTTATATTGTATCATTTATTGTGCTTGGCATTAGACATGTATGTCTCTTGTGTTAGGTTTTTTTTTTTAAGTGAACATATACAGGATTTAACCATAAATGATATCAGGCCTGTCAGCTTTAATGATCAAATCATTAATTTTGACACACACTCATTGTCATCTAAGTTCAGAAAACTCAAAAAACAAGTCATCGTCACCTTCTGATAAGAGAGTTTACTTCTCAAAAATCAGTGTCTTTATTTAGGAACTAAAACAAGTGGATGTAGTCAGAGTATTCATAGAAAATTAACTTTATATACAATCTGTTGGTTACCTATGGTCTTGTTACAAAGGTACTGAATGTCTACTCAACTGCTGAATCTCAGGAAGCATGTAGTTAACCCTCTATACTGACCTTTTGATAAAATTAGATTTTTATTCTAAGTGTAATTAAAAGAGTTTACTTTTTAACAAATGACACATCAGAGATGTCATGGGTCAACTCTGTCTGATTGTGAAAACCCTCCTTTTCCAGCTGATTGACATCACAGGCAAGGATCAGGATGAGTCTATGATCGCACTGCATGATTGCAACGGGGATGTCAACAGAGCCATCAACGTGTTGCTGGAGGGCAGCCCAGACACTGTGAGTATTGGCTTTGTGTGAAGGCTTGTGCTGTGAGCACCGGATTCTTGTGAAATCAGTGCCACACTGGATGTTACAATCACATCAGGGAAAACAGTGGTTGGAGACAGCAGCACAACTAAAATTATTGTGACCAGGTTCAATGAACATGCAGCCTTTGAAATGGTTGCTTTGAAGATGGGTACCACAAACGGTCAGATGCCATGTTCAAAGTGACTGTGATGCATGAGCAGGGCGATAAGATGGCGCCAGTCTATCAGTTTTCAATTGAATGCGGTTGTGTACAGCGATACAGCACTAAACAGATAAATCATTAAAAATCATAAATCTGCTGTCGTCTTTTGCTGTCTAGATACAAAGAAGTTCACATTTACTTTTAAATGACTCAAGCCAGAACCTCATAGGTCTGAAACGCACATTCAGAAATTCCTCCACAAATAGTGATGGAGTTGCTGCAGGACGGCAGTTTAGTAGGTGCATGGGAACCTTGCGTTTGTATAGGAACATAACCAGAATCCAACAAGTTGGCAACCAGTTGAATCAAGTCCCCAGTTGCAAAGAGACTCATTGCAGACGTACAGCACTTGTCAGTGCTGATTGATTGCAATCTTTCTACATTTATAAATTAGTTAGCAAGTATTTTCAAACCTTTGCCAATCTGTCTGAGAGTTATTGCAGTCAGTCTGAGTCAGGCTGTGATTGTTTGGAAGCGGATTGTCTTCTACTGGGCGACTGTGCATTCATTTTCCTGTTGAAAGTGGGTACTGCAGCTGTGTACATTTTCTGTGTTTTCTTTGTCAATGTGCCTCTTTTGCATCCCCTAAGTATGTTGTCACTGACCTGTTGAAAACCAGAAGGGGACTTGAAGGAGGGCAGTCATCTCCTGAAGTGGAGACTGCATTCACAGGGCATAAGCTTCCTATTAGTTTCCATAAAAATATTTGGGTTCTTCTTTCTGCGATGTTTTAGGAAATTCTGCTTGGTACGTTTGTTGCAGTGTCGCTAACAGACAGACAAACGGATGGCACAGATAACATATCTTATCTTTATTTGGCTACTTAAATGTGTGTAATGTTTATCTATAAGTTATCAAAAAATAACTTAAAAGCTTGAATAATAATCTGACTTGTAGAACATGGTGAGAAATTGAAACTAGAGTAAGACTTTGAACAGTATCTTGCCGTTACACATTAATCACAGCTGATCAAGAGATGCTATGCCCTTTGGATTGTCAAATACTGGTTCATTGGAGTAAAGACTTTAAAAGGAGTTTGATTTATATGGCTTGGTAGGGAATAAATAAAATGAACAACATTTCCAATTGTGATTTTCAACTAGCTTCCACAGCTTCCACTAAACAGCTTCTTAATGCACTGTATGTGAAATGCGATCCCAATCAGATTCAGACATACGTAAGCTTAGTGGCAGTTTATGCTCCCTGTTGTTAATCTCTGTGTATAGCGGCATGGCACACATCTGCAAACAGGTCCGTTTTTACAGGTCTTTGTATGATGCATAAGTGTGGTAGCATCACATTTTCCAGATGGCACAGAGCGATGTTGCTGCAACCGATGGAAAAGGAAGAGATATTCGTCAGAAAACTATGAAAAGGCCGTAATGGTCACGTAGTTTCCTGTTTTGGCCGAGGGTCTCTAACAGTGGAAAAAAAAAAAATTCAGATCATCACCTTATCAACTAACCTTTCATCCATTTCAGTGTGTGTTTTCCATCTTAGTGAAATGTGCCAAGACAATCAGTTCTGTAGTATTCTGATTTAGACGAGCATCATTGTAATGCTATATTTATGTATTTCTTAAGGACTCCTGGGAAATGGTGGGAAAGAAGAAAGGGGTGTCAGGTCAGAAGGAGACCAGCCAGGCAGAAACTGGAGACGAAGGAAAAGAGAACAGAGAGAAAGGAGGCGAGAAGGATGCAGCACGTCGCAGAGGTGGAGCTCCACGCAAGGGACGTGGCGCTAGCAGGGGACGAGAGTGTAAGTCTTTAACTCATCCTTACATTGATTTGCCTTCTTCTACAGTTTGATCTGGAAACTTTAGTCAGTGACTCAGTTTTTACAAATGGGTGTGTCTGCCAACACAATAGATTTTTCTGACCTTGAATTCAAGTATGAAGGGATTGAACAAAAATATTGAGAAATTTGTCATTTTTATACACAGTCCTGTATTTACAGAGGCTCAGATTTAATTGAACAAATACCATTATAATTTTCTGGTTATTTAAGGCTCTGTTGAAGTCAAGATCTGCTTGAAGTGTGGAGCCAGTTGAGATTACCAGAGTGTGGACCTTCATTGTGATCTTTTGCCAGGCCTTTATTGTATCTGTCTGCAGTTCTTGTTTATTTTTGTTGGTCTTTACATCTTTAGTTTTGGCTTTAGTTTGATTTAGGTTTAGATGAAGAGGTCAGCTTGGCTGCTTCAGAATATAAAAAAAAAAATTTGCCCTCAACTCTGAAAAGAAATCATTGAACAAATGGTCACTAACAAGGTGGTTATTTTATCAAATTGCATGCTGTAAATGTACAGCCTGAAAGATTTTTTTCTTTGAATTTCATCATGTTTCACAAGTCAAGGAATGCTGTTAATTTGAGTCATGCCTGTGCTCTGTCAGACTCAAGTTTATCGAGTCATTTTGTAAAAAAGGCTTTTTGCTTTTGTTGCCTAAAGGGGTTCATTGAGAAAAGAAATGTATGGTTTGCATGAACAGTTGCTTGCTGGCTTATTTTTGTCATTTAGATGAAGTTGGATACAGAAAGGTTGCACAGGTGCACCAGAATTCTGTGAAAATAAAAGTGCAAGAAAGCCTTTTAGAACTTATTTAAACTGCATACATCGTCATAGGAAAGGGGAGCCAGCACATTTGTCTGTCCTTTTGATTTTATCTGAGGGGCTGTTAAGGTTCCCAAACATTAGGTTTTATTTAATTGTCTGCTGTTTTTGCACACGCTATTGTGTCGAAATCTGAAGCCATTTGCTCTCTCTTCATTACTCAAGTTCGTGGCCAAGAGAATGGCTTAGATGGAGGCAAGACTGGAGTAGCTGGAAGAGGTGCAGAGCGAGGCCGAAGGGGAAGAGGCAGAGGAAGGGGAGCAGTTGGTAAGTAATCCTCTTTACTGTTCTTTGAAGGACGTGTGTCTAATCAAAACAAGGGGTAGCTGGGATTTTTGGGCTTTTTTTTTTTTTTTTGCAATGCATACATAATCTGCTGGCTTCCTTTCTTATGGCAAGATTTGTCGAACTGAGAAACTGACACAAAGTCTCGTTCTGTCCCCAGGAGCATCTGGACGGCGAGGAGGCAGATTTTCAGCACAGGGCATGGGGTAAGGGAATACCTGCATTGCCTAAATCGAGAAGGCCTTTTGTTCCACTTTTACCTGTTGCTATGGTCACCAGAGAGCAGGACCCCAGCCTATTGTTTAGCATTAATCCAAAGGAGGGAGGACATACATCAGCCAATGGGACGGAACAGCGTGGGCTGAATATCTCTCTTCAGAGTTTGCAGTCTCTAAAGATTTTATTTAGAGTAATATTTGGATTGATTTATGAAGAAGACTGTCAGGGACCGAACTAGTTTAGCTTTACAGTTATATTAAGCTCTCTGGCCCCAGGCTGCAGGATTATTCAGTTTGTTTTGCTTGTGTTCTTTAGTCTTTCTGAGCGCAAAAGGGTGCAGTTAATACGCATGTCAGTTGAACAGTTAGGTGTCAAAACAGAGGAAGTGCTTTTTGTGCTGACTGTGATGGCTTTCTCGACTCATTTGATTGTCATTAATTGGGCAGTGTATGAGTAAGACTTGTGCTGTCATTAGGTTGTGAGCAGTCAGGTATGATGTGACTCTGGGTGTATATGTGTGTGCGTCCTAACTGAATGGCTCCCTTGCTGGAGAAGCCTGAATCTGATGTTCTTACAAAAACAAAGTGTGTTTTGAAGCTGCTGTATCAATACAATAAAAAGCATACTTGCACATGGTTTTAACCTATGGGAATGACTAGAATGTAAAATAATTGCTCTATGATGGTGCAAACGATAACCTGCAGTAGGATCTTTATGGTCTGTGCTCTCTGAGCCTGTGGAAGTGTTCCAGTCTTGGCTGTGTTTGTTTTGAGTGTTGACCTAGATATTGACTTGCATACTCAAACACTATAATACGCTTTTCATACAGATTTGGGGCTAATGTTTTACAGTGCTGGCTGAGACGTTTTTGTGTTACCTAAACTGTCCTCACCGTCAGCACACAATAGTTCTGTTATTGCTTTTGCTTCTGGATGCTGGCAGACACTGTTTACCAGCTTTGCACCAATGTTTGTTGAGAGAAGTGTGTATGGCTTTAAAGGAAACTGCCTTAAAGCAGATAAAGTACTTGTTGCTGTGTGATAAGATGGTGATTTTCAGACCTGCTTGTAGATGTGCGTCACTGATATTTTATGCCTTTAATAGGCAACGTATGCTATTCACCTCACATTTTGCTTTCAGATTTCATTGAAATTGAACTAAACCCAAAAATTAATACTCGGGTTTAAAAGGGAAATGAGTACCACACTTAATTACCAATGAATAAGCTGATCAGATAGATTTGTTTCAGAGTTGATGTGACGGTTTAGATGATTCAAGGGAAGTTGGTAGATGATTTGGTTATTATCTGCATGTGTGAGTCTCTCTGTGAAGTAATAGTGCTTTCAGTCTCTTTAATGGGGCCACATTAAAACCGCCAACCCAGATTTTGGTAACATGAAGACTGGATTTATCACTAATGTAGCCTGGTTCAAGGTGTGTTAAAATGACTGAATTGAACACGTATCCATTTGTTAAGAAATGCAAATTGTAATCTTTGGGTTTTTTCCTGTCTTTTCTGGACAGAAATCATATCACACCACCCTCCACCCACCCATTTTTGTTTCCATAACCCCATTTTTTTTAAACCACCTATTGATTAGTGTCTATTCAGACAAAGTTTTTCCAGGTTAAAAGGGCAGAAAGTAATTTCGCACCTCGGATCTGAGAACACAGTTAAAGTCCCACATTACAACTGACATTTTTTTTTCTCCTCTGGTGTTGCATTCAACTAATTTCTTTCTTTGTCTGCAGAAAAGAAACTGAGGGAAGAGATTGAAATCCACTCTGTTTCACACACATGGGATCATTTTATGTTGACATATATAGAAACCCAATGAAACAGGCTGATATATCTTTACAGCTGTAAAAACTGTAGTAAAAGTGTAGGTTTGCTTTGGTGGGGTGTTTGTCAGAATCGAGGCAGTTAATTTGGCGCTGTACAGAGTTATCACAGAGTGTGTATGTGACATTCTCAACTTATTAGGTAAATGAGAGTGAGACTAAACAAGAGACTGTGTGATTTGAGATGGATGGAGTTATGCAGACCGATGCACCGTGTGTTCAACAATAGCTTTGAGCTCATGTAGTTGTGTGATTGAAGGTGTCGATGAAACTGCTAACTGCCATCATCTACCAGCTGTTTTTTGTCTGCGGCTGATTTATGAAGCCTATACTTCAGTTCAGCTGGGTTTCTTGTGTATTGACCCACTATGACTAAAAGCACACTGGCTTGCTTTGCATTGAAGAGTGATTGACTGGAGCAGAGTTGTTATTAAAGTACTGGCTCAGGCAGCTTGAAGGCATTTTGCTTACGCTGCTGTAGCTGTCGGTGGTGGTGGTGGAAAAAAAAAAGCTTTTTCTTTTACTTTGTTGTTCATCTTGTAATTGTTACCATTATTTTTCTTCTAAAGCCAGAATGATAAGGGGCCCAGATATGATATTGCAGGCAGTAGGAGGTGAGTGCATCGCCTCTTGTGTGTGTATGTGGTGTTCTTGCTTTCTTTAGGGAGCCTTTGAGTGCTATAAAATAGGATAATGTAATAGCAGACATTAAAACACCTCATTCTATTAATAGGATATCAAATGGATATGGCCTTCCCTTAAAATTTGTCATTTAATATGCTCATCCAAGCTATAAATGCATCTTGATTTGCACAGGAAGGATCTTTGACAAATAATGAAAGCTGCTTGGCTTGGCTTCACTCAAAAGAAAAGTGTTGCACTTGATCATGTTGCTAGGCTGCACCAGCTGTAATTTCCTCAGCATACATGGATGTGTCAAAATAATGAAAGATGTTTCTTGCCAGGAAAGAGTCGTTGAAAAACTAAAACAGTACTTAGATGCTTCCCCACTACAACAATGGTAGTTTCACTGCTTTAACCAAGTTTTTTTTAGGATTTCTTTTACATATCATTTCCTGTTGCAAGTTTGGTTTTGTTTCTGAAGTGTTTTATGAAATAAAAAGCCTAATGATGTCAAAAGACCACTGCAAGCAGACAACCACCTTAATCAGTTGTGGTGTGCACCTCATTAAAACTTAATTGAGCGTTTGCTTCTGCTCAAACAGGGCTATCCTCTAGTAGGTGAGTAGGTAGTAGCTGTGACTTATGCAGACACTCCTTCAGTTGTTGGGGAAGTCATTAGTCCATTCATTCACTTCTTGACTCCTTATCACTATGTTTCCCAGAACATTCAACCCTGCTGACTATGCGGAGCCAGCTCAGACAGAAGAAAACTACGGAGGGGGCAGTACCTGGAACAACACAGGAAGCGTGGAGCTAGAGGAGGGAGCTAGTAAGTGAATTTATCCACAAACTTCTCCAATAAGAGAAGTTAATCTTATCAATTCAGCATCTGTTTAACATCCAAACTATTTTAAAAAGCATGGTTAGCTTGCCAAAGAAGCTCTTGTTGTAAAGACTACAAGGATGGTTTGCTTGATAGTTGAGACATACACACATTTCAGACATATTGTAATGCTCTGACTAAAGAATGATCACTTCCTCTGGTTAACTCTACATTAGCTTTAATCTCCTCACCTCGGTCTCTGTCTCCAGGGTTGGAATACTCTGCAGGAGAGGGAACAAATTATCCACCCAAGTTTGATTCTGCTCCTGGTAAACCTGTCTTCACTCCCCTCTTGATTTTTTTTTTCTGCATTCCTTATTCTGTTTGAAGTTCTTTGTTCAACGTGAAATCATTGAACTATTTCTCTTTCACTCACAGGTGCCTGGAGGTCTGCCACAGAGGAGTGGGGCACTGAGGACTGGAATGAAGATGTGAGTGTTTTATTTTTACCTCAATCACATTATTTCTTTAACAAAAACAGTACATTGTCCTCGAAGAAGTTATAGTTCAGTATTAATGATGGTGATAGCAGCTCCATGGTGTAGTGGTTTACATATTTGCTCGGAGGAGACGCAAGTATCTTGCCAGGAGGAACTTGCGTCAACCCACTAAATCAAACTTGTGGAGCTGCTGTGGCGACCCGTTGAGAATAAGGGAGCAGCTGAAAGTAGATTAGAACTGATTCTGATCTGCACACTTGAACAGAACTAAAACTTCATCTTCTGCTCTCCTTTCCTCTGCAGCTTTCAGAGACCAAGATATTCACAGCTTCCAGTGTAGCGTCAGTGCCTCCGCCTCAAGAGAATGTTACCATCACTAAGGGACAGAGGTGGGTCACTTACACAATTTATTACACTGCTGCTGAGCAAATTGCTTTTCTGGGAATTGATGAAGAGAAAAAGAGCAGTCACTGTTTTGTAACCTTCTCTGTTTTTTGTGGACACGGTTATAATTGATTTCTTGATCAACTGATTTATGAATGAGTTGATGTTCAGAGAATTATTGGCCATATGCTTGTACTGTTAGTTATCAAGAAAATGTGCAAATATTTAATTACTTATTCTGCTAGCTGGACAAAAACGAGCAGTGTTAATATCGCTCACTTGATACTTCTGTTGAATTTAAATAGTAAAAAAAGATTAATCAAGAAAACAATGAAAATGAATGCAGCTTTACAATAATTAACCTATTTTTATTGAAACTTTTTATAGGTATCATAATGAATGGTTTTTTAAATTTCTTGTTATAGGATTGATCTCGCAGTGCTCCTTGGGAAGACTCCACCATCTTCTTCCTCAGAGACAGAAAATGCCCCCATGGAGGCCACCCAGCCCCCCTCTTTGTCCCAGTCACTGGTTTTCAGCAACTCCAAGCAAGGAGTGCCCCTCTCTCAAACATCCTCCAGCACCCCTTACACCCAGCACAACATGGTGAGACTCTAAAGAACAAAGCATGGCAGTTTTTCCTAACACTGCCGTTAAATGTACATCGCCTCTCAGATAGCTCACTAATGCAAATCATCTTTTAACGTTGATAAGTCCACCACTTCCTCACCACACAGAACTCGGGCGAGTATAGTGATATCGCAGCATAACTGCATTATTGTGGCTCAAGTATTTATTCAGTTGGAATAATGGTCTGTGTTCTTCTACCAACACTGCAGGTCAGCATGCTGAGCAAGGGTTTTGGGGAAGTGGGGGAACCTAAAGGAGCCAGCACAGGGACCACTGGGTCCCAGTTTTTGGAGCAGTATAAAACAGCCCAGGCACTGGCCCAGCTGGCAGCCCAGCATTCCCAGACTGGACCCCCCAACACAACCCCTTCATCATGGGACACCAGTGCTGCCTCACTGGGACAATATGGTGAGATGAGAGCCTTTTTTAAATTACTCTGAAGATAAATTATCTGCACACTAAATGCTATTGTTATTAAATGCCTTGCTGTAATATGTGAAGTGGTATATTTCATAATGATTATAATTGAGCTTTTTACTCTTCTTTTTTTTTTTTTCAATTTCAGTACCACAAAATACCTGCTGAGTTTATTTTTTTCTGACTTTTGTCCCCCCACTATTGTCTAGATATGAAGGCTCAACCGGAGTCTGCAATTCATACGCCCTTTACAAAGAGGCAGCCCTACCAGGCCACCACCTCAACCTCGTCCATGTTGGATGTTTTCCTGCAGGACAAAGGCCTGCCTCCTTCCTCTTCTGTCTCCTCATCATCTTCCTTACCACAACAAACAACATCCTCCCCCCATGTGGTGCCTCCACCTGCTTCCTCCCTTCCTAAAATGGCTGGAGTCCCTTCTCTAGGTCAACAAGTTTCCCCAAGCTCCTCAGATGCCCAGGGTTCAAGTCCTCTGCCTTTGCAGCAACACAAAATCAAACAGCAGAAGAAGAGGGCCTCCATTAATACAAAGGTGACTTTTAATAAGAGATTTTGAAAAGGTGCCTGATAGAAGCTATTGAAAACAGACTGGTTTCATGTAGGGATGCACTGATCCAAATGTTTTCTCTTCCAATATGATGCCAAAATCTGTGCATTGGATGTGAAAATGGTTCCAAAACAGGTGACAATTTGCTGTTGGCTTCTTTCATCCTGTGTTAGATTGCCCACATTGCTGTGTGGTAAACAGAACAACAGAATTGAATTGAGTTGAACTGAATTGATCTTCCTCATAGATCGCTGTGTTGTCACCAATACTCGATCTAGTTGTCTGAGGCAGACAGATATCCAATTAAAATAGCAGACCAGTAGAGTTTGTGTCTTATGCATGAAAGCAAGCTTTCAGTCTTTGTGGCCTTAAAGAAAGCAAACTGCTTTTGTCTTTACTCAGATTCCAGCAATGGCAGTGGAGATGCCTGGCTCAACAGACATCTCAGGCCTGAATCTTCAGTTTGGAGCGTTGCAGTTTGGGTCTGAACCAGTTCTACCAGAGTACGAGTCCTCCTCTGCCACCACAACACCAGGCAACCAGGTCCAGAACAGTCTCTACACAAGCCCCAGCAGGTTGGTACTTCCCAAAGCAAAGCTCTTCCTGTACGTAAACAGGAAGAGCTTGAATGGAGGACAGTACTCTTAAAAACCTTCCTCTCAGACCTGCTAGTTGTACTCAGTGTTGTGCCATCTGCTGTGCAACCAGCCGACATAAGGATAGTTCATGTTAGAAAGTTTATGTTGACACAGAACGCTGTGGAATGACAGATTTTTGTTTTTGATTCAAGAACGGTTCTCTGGAGTAAAGTTTTTCTTGACTTTGTAGTCCTGTTCATTGACAGTCATTTTGCTAATGCTTCTGGGCACTTATTAAGCGTGCCTATGCAATATCACGCTGCTTATTATTTGTTGGATTTGTTGTTCTTCTTATTTTGCTGCTCCTGCTGTCTAAATGGCAAGAGAGCTATAACTTTAAATAGAACTTGGATGTGTATAATTTATTAAATCACCTGTTAAATCAGATTTTTTTTTTTTTTAACTTAAGTTTGGGGACTTTGTCCCCCAAAACCTTAAAAATTATTTTGTCCCCACAAGTTATACTTACTGTCTGCATGTGCACAGTCATGAAACTTAATGGAGCAGTCCAAAGTGCATGCTCAATCAACATCTCTAGCTCATCCCACCAGAGCAGAAGCCACATCAAAACAATATTGATACAGTGCTAAGATAACAACAATGTATGCACAAAACATGTTGTGAACCTCACCTGTGGGGATGCATCAGTGCAACAACTCAGTTTGGCAGTTGTGGGCAGGCAGGCTAGCTGCCATCGTTGACGCACAAATTTCTATTCAGGGTTTTAGTCGAGCCTGTCTCTCTCATAAAGTCTGACATTTTGTACCGCTTATTCAACAGTGTTTGCATACTTTTCTGATTGCCAGGAATACTGAATTATTTTACCAGTTATAACTGGACTTTTAAGAATTTGGCTTTTGATGTTGATTATATTTTTTCCCCACACTCTGTTTTACTCGGCACTTCTTTAAAGGTTAGATCAATTTTTGGTGTGTGTCCCAGTCTATAAAACTCATTAAATTGTAATTATCATCAGTATTCAAGTCAGAACCATTAATTGAACACAATTAACTTTGAGATTGTCCATTTCATTGCAATCTGCAGTGAGTCAACTCCAGTTCTCTCCAACTCCAGCCAGATGGACCTGTACGATCAGAGACCATCTCAAACACGGCGTTACCCTCCTTCAGTCTCCTCCTCCCCTCAGAAGGATTTGCAGCCCAAGGTAAAGCCAACACTTTCCTCTTTCACTTGATCTACTAAAATGTTAAATACCCCATTTTTAGTGAAGTATTAAAGGAGGAGTGACTGGGGACAGCATGCTCAACTACCACCTGCTCTGTTATGCAAAAGCCTCTTAAAATAAACTCTACTCTTATACTTCTAAATTCTTTTGTTTTCCATTGTTCTCGTTGTAAAGTGCTACTGGTTTTTAAACATGGCCTGTATTTGATATCTGCGTATCAAATAAGCTTCAGCTTTTTATCAATGGCCTGTCTCCATAGAAACCTGTGAGCTCACGTTCATTGTTGGTTTTACAGAATGGCTTCAGTTCAATACAGGCAGCACAATCCGTGGAAGGTAAGCGTCTGCTTACTAATCAGGTCATATTTTCTGGCACATTTAGCCCACATACACGTTTCCTGAGCATTATTAATTGAGTTTTGTTGGTTTTATTCCATCCGTTTCTCTTTTGCTCTCTGCACAGCTGCAGCAGGCTCTGCAGTATCAGTCAAGCCGGCCTCTGACTCGGTCACGCCCGCATCAGTCTCCAGCATGGGCACTTTAACAGACAGCAGCTCAGCCTCCTTGTTGACTACAGCCAATCAGACGCCACTTAGTGCTCTGGGTCACAATGAAGACTTGCCTCCAAGCAGCATGGCCCCTCCTCAGCACAACAAGTGAGATGCAGCTAATCTCTTAAATCTAAATTATGATTGGTGTTAACCTAAGTGTCAGTGAATGTGATGTGATTTGCTGATAAGTGTAATAACCCCTGTATATCCTGTGTTCTTTTACAGCTCTCACCCATCACAACAGAACAGTCTGACTCCATCTGTCCGGACATCGAACTCAGGCTTACTGGTGAGCACTTTGTATGCTCGTGTCAATTTTTACATCAGAATCAATTGTACTTATTTTATTTTATTTTTTTAACAAGTCACAAATGAGTATGAGTAGCTTATGCAGGAGGTTGGGTCTCCCTCCCCCACTCACTCAGTGTGAGCATTTTTCAAAGCTGCATTTCCTGTGGTGGTAGATGGACACATTATATGTTCATTCACTCTAATGGAAATGTAATCTCATCAATCTTCGCCGCATTTATTATCTTCCGCCCCTACAGCATCCCAGCGTCGATGGAGACTCGAGCCTGCACTCTTCATCCTTCCCTTCCTCTGTCTCTGCCGTGCCGTCTTCATCAGTCCCCTGCTCCTCTTCCTCTGTGGCTGCTGCACAGGTGTCCTTAGGGGCTCCTCAGGCCTCCTCAGTTGGCTCTGCCACAGTTTCAGCTCCCTCGGGCCTAGGCGCCGTCAGCAGTCTGGCCATGGGCCTCAACACTGCCTCTATGGGTGCCCCAGTAGCAGCAGCTGCCGCCGCCACTGCTTCAGTCTCCACAGCGGCCTCGACCATTCCGTCTTCAGCATCTTCGTCATCAACACGCAGCTCTGCAGCATCCTCAGGTTAGACAACACAAGCACAAATATATCAAAATGTAGATGCAGTTTAAATTGTGTTTGCTTTTCACTTTTTCTGCATAGCTGACTTTAAACTGTGCAGTCAATACCAGTGATATAATTATAAGCTTGGTAACTTGATGTGAGGCCTTCACAATAACTTGGTGGTAAAATGGACAGTCAGTCGTTTACTGTATGCGAATCCATTGTGGAGCTTCTGTTACAATATTGTCATTGATCGGGTCATGTGGTCTGGCTTCAGAGAGCACACACAAAGTAGAAGAAAAAAATAAAGGAAAGCATTAAGTAGAGCTTGTCTGGGGTGTTAGGCCGTTGTTTAATCCTTCATTTTGACTAGATTTTAGAACCAATTGAAGTCCTTAAGAGTTTAGTGGTTACAGTTACACAGATGATGTAACCTTCAGGGCATATTTTGTGGTCAGGTGGCAGATGGATGCATAAATTTATGTTGACTTACAGTAGAGCAACTGTGGTAAAGGATTTCTTGGGGAGTTTGTCAGAGATTGTCTTTGATTAAAGTGAGTGAGTCATGGGTGTTTTGTTTTGTCTGGGATTCGATCTGGTTTCCATTTCCTCATCATCACAGGTGTGCTTTTCATGATTCTGACTCTTTGGTTGTCCCCTGAGGCTTTTTCTTTCACACACGTAGAGTGTAATCTTTGCTGCTAAACAGTTTGTCACGTGTTTTACTGCAATGTTTTCATTTATTATTTCTGCTAAAGGCAATGTATTTGTAATACTTTGGTTATGTAATGCAAGTTGGTGAATAATTAGAATAATTTGGTTGCTTAGCGCATGGGTAAAATTGTCTAGCAAATACAGGCACAGGTGTATTTTCATTGTGGATGATTATGAGGCTTATATTTCTGTTTTGCAAATAAATGCATTTTATTGGTTTATTTTAATTTGTGCATACAGGGAAAGCACCTCCAAACCTTCCACCCGGAGTGCCCCCTCTACTGCCCAACCCATACATTATGGCCCCTGGACTACTGCATGCCTACCCTGTAAGTACTGTCAAAGTTTCTATGGCCTGAGCTTCACATGTACTTACTAGATTTTTATTTACTGTGTTACTTACTCCACACTAACTCGATTTACTGTTCTTTTCAGCCTCAGGTGTACGGCTATGATGATCTACAGATGCTACAGACAAGAATACCGCTGGTAAGTGTTGTTTGTGAAATGTGTTTAGCTGCTGCAAGTAAAATAATGTTATGCACAGTTAAGAGTGTAAAATTACACAGCATTGTCAGCTTTGTATGACTCGGGGTTTAGGTGTGACTATTCAAATCTTCAAATAAGTTGGGGTTGTTTTTGGGGGGGTTGGTTTTGTTTGTTTGTTTGTTTGTTTTTTTACTGCAGTTACTTGAGGGCCAAATTCCTCAAGTATAAAATACATTAACTACACATTACCTGTGCTGTATTTACGGTTTGTCTTAAATGAACCAATAAAATCAGCAATGTAGTTCCATCTCTACAAATTGAGAAATCCCCGGGCTCTCTGTCCTGGTCGTTGTGTCCTTGAGCAAGACACTTTACCCTACCACCTACTGGTGTTGGCAGAGGGGCCGATGGCGCGATATGGCAGCCTCGCTTCTGTCAGTCTGCCCCAGGGCAGCTGTGGCTACAACCGTAGCTTGCCTCCACCAGTGTGTGAATGCAAGAGTGAATGAATAGTGGCATTGTAAAGCGCTTTGGGTGCCTTGAAAAGCGCTATATAAATCCAATTTATTATTATTATTATTATTATTATTATTATTATTATTATTATTATTATTATTAAAGACTGGCTCATAGGCAACAGTGAACAGTTTAGAAAAAATGTTTACCATTACATACCCATCCCAAGTTATGTGATGGGTATGTAGGCACTCAATTTCTTGTGTTCTTATACTGTAATATTTTTCTTATCCAGGATTATTACAGCATTCCCTTTGCAGCAACACCCACAACAGCACTGACAGGCAGAGAGGGCAGCTTGACAAGCAACCCTTATTCTGGTGAGACACTTTCTAGTTTTTAGTTTTTTAGCTCCATTAAAAGTCTAAAAGAGTGAGACAGACTATCTACTACTATGTATAATTAGAAAATATCATTTTATTTTAAAAATGTATTATTTTACTGCTATATCATGTTTCAATCTTTTATTCCCATTTTCTTTAAGGTGACTTATCAAAGTTTGGTCGAGCTGATGCCTCTTCTCCGGCTCCAGCTACCACATTAGCTCAGACACAACAGAATCAGAGCCAGACGCATCACACCACACAGCAGCCCTTCCTGAATCCTGCGCTGCCGCCAGGCTACAGCTACACCAGTCTCCCGTACTACACTGGCATGCCAGGATTGCCCAATACCTTTCAGTATGGACCTGCTGTGTTTCCGGTGAGAAATCTTGATATACAAAATAATTAACTTTTTCCTTGTTTTCAATTTCTTAGCGTTATTATATAACAACAAGCAGTTGTTGATTTATTTATTTATTTATTTTTCTTTTCGTGTGGGTATGAAGTCCAGTGCCTTATATTTCCACCACTAGTAGATGAGGGGAGTAGATTAGAGTATTAGAGGCTCATTGTATAGTTTTACTGAGAAAGAAACAAATGTTAATTGAAAATACAAACCTGTGAGAAGTAGCCAGTCAGAAGAAAGTTGCCTTAATGGGAGGGTGGCATTAAAAGAACAGGAGCTATAATCTCCTCAACAACTGAGGGGCTGCACCAAGCCCCAGTGTATCATGAGTAAGTATTCTACTCTTAATGGTGTCCAACAATAAAGATTGAGTATAAAAGGCCGCCTTTAAATTAATTCTTCCCTTTAGACAGTGAGAGACAGAGTGGCTTCTGTCAGCCTGTGGTCATCTTTGAAGATGTGTTGCATATTGAGCTGGCAGCTAGCAGTGATGGGAGAGTAAAAAGCTACTTACTGTAACAAGTACAATCAGTTTATCTTTGACTTCAGCCAGACAACAGAGGCTGCAGCTCAACCTCTACCCGTCTTTCTAGTAGCTTTGTCTTAACGTTAAACTTTTCTAAAATAGAAAAAAAGAGGGACTAATTTCTTGTCAACGATTTAAAAGTTCACCCTAGCCAGTTGGAGTTAAAGCCAAATTTGTGGTTGTGAGTGACAGAAACACTGGCCTAAACAGGTTCCTTCAACTTGCCTGATATCGCTTTGTTTCAGCCCCCGACGCTGCCTGTAGCCTTTCCTCTGGTGGCAATATGAGAGCGATTTAAACAGTTTAAAAAATGCATTATCAGAACCTGAATGTGTGTTTCACCAACATGATTGTGAACTTTTCACATTTTCCTTTGCTGACCTCTTGACTCTCCATTTTTTCCCCCCGCCTGTCCAGGTGGCTCCTACCTCGTCAAAACAGCACGGTGTGAATGTCGGCGTCAATGCCTCGGCCACACCCTTTCAACAGGCTAGTGGCTATGGTTCCCATGGATACAGCACTGGTGAGAGCCTAAATAATGTTGAAACGGCATGTTTACGGGGTTGTGCTAGTATACTTGGACACCGATGACTCTGTGCTGATTCTCACAATGAGCCCATTGATTTTCCCATCGGTGGAGTGCGTATTTCATTCGAGCGCTGCAACATCTGCAAGCATAAACATGGTGCTCGTGTAATGGCCTTTGTTATTCTTGTGTCAAGACACTTGCTCATGGTTTATGAATCATTCTTGTGACCCGGATGTTGACGTGACAGTTTAATGTTTTCATGACCAGAACATGGTTTGGTGTGTCAGAAAACGCATCTGCATCTCATACAGTTTCAGTGCCTGTACATGTGAGGAAAATGCCTGAGTAATTCTTCTCTAACAACAAGAATGCATCTTATGTCACTTTTATTTAAGGGCGTCTTTAGATCAAGTATATGCTGTCTAAACAGAAAGGGATAAGGGGCTTTAAAAGTGGCATCTGGCTGTACCAGTTTACAAACAAACAGGATTAGATTATGGGTTTCTCGCTTTTTTCTATGGCTTGCTTTGCTCATCTCAGAATGCAGTTTGCCCCAGAGCTTTACTATCCACCACCTCACCTGCACACACCTTCATGTTGAACACATCAACACATGAAGCCAACATCTTCCTATTTTTCCCCAAAGACTGACATTTGAGATGATATTCTTTCACCTGTTTTTTATATATTCTATCCAATCACTTCACTGAGGCTTTAGTTTACATACTTCATTCATCACTCGGTATCCACCTTTAGTCACAACATGTGGAAAACCTATTTGTTCTAAGCTGCACCATCTGCTGCTTTCTGCCATTACCCAACTCAAGCTCACTCTCCACCCCCATACACACGCCCTGCCTGCCCCCTCACTTCCCTCACCTCCTCCCCCTCAGACTTGGGTCAGATGGTACCTGCAAATGACGTCAGCGTTGATTCTGACCTGCTTGTTGTACCGGACGGACAGGTTTTGCCACACAGACGCTGCAGTTGGTATCAAAGTTCTGGTTGTTACAGCGGAGGGAACTTGATACCGTCTGCATTGTCCCAACTTGGTAAAACCTGTCCATGTGGTCCAATTTTCAAACAAAACGCTATGAATCATTTGCAGATGCTATCTGAGGCAGGTCTGCTTCCCCTGCCTGGTGTGTCTAATGCTGTGGGCTGCGGCTGTGTGTCTGACTGTTGCAGGCTATGAGGATGTGGGCCAGGCTTCAGGGAGTGGGGATTTCTGTAAGGGCGGATACGGCACTGCCGTGGCCGCTGCTGCTTCTGCACAAAACAAGCCAGCCAGCTCTGTCACCGGGCCTGGAGTCGGTGAGTGCCGCCACATGCCAAATTAAACCTAAAGCGAGAGAGAGAGAGAGAGAGAGAGAGAGAGAGAGAGAGAGAGAGAGAAACCAACCCTGTCCCTCCCGTCTTCCTCCTTGTGTCACCAACCATCCTTCTCCCCCCTCTTTGCTCTCGTTCCCTTGCCTCATCGCTGCTGCCTGCAGGAAGACCTGTCACACTACATGTGCTTTCAGATAGTCCAGTGCAGCCTGCCGCTTTTACAAGCCTTGTTTGCATTTCTTTACCCATTTTCTGCCAGGGTAACTCATCATCACTCCAATGTACTTCTATGTAAAACAGCTACACTGTGTTTAGAGGTGTTTTTTTTTTTTGGTTTGTTTTTTTAAAAAAAGGTCGTATTAACATTATTGGGCTTCTACAAAGTGATTGCGAGTTACTCTGGTTGATGCTTTCCCATTTTCCCCTGTGTTGCTTGCTCTTCACTCATGTTCTCATTGCTGGTGTGTCCGTCTCCAAAGTAAAGAGTTTGCTGTCCTGCGAGGGTCGTAGTTTGCAACAAAGGACAGAGAGGGCAACAAAATCATCTGTAGCACTGGTGATTGGTCAGAATAACGCCGTGTGTGACTGAAATGTTTTGTCAAAACTGTGTGCACTGAACCAAACCTGGTACATAGGAAGTTCTGCTTATGTCTTTGAACATCACTGACCATTATTGGAGTATTGAAGTTCAGCGTTACCTAATTAGATATGATGACAGTGGATACAACGGATGACATCGGTCACTCGCTCAAAGGGAAATCTGTCATTTCTGCAGGAGTTGTGATAGATTTCATTAATGACTTATTTGTTCTGGATTAAAAAACCCTTTATTACCTTGTCAGTGTACAAAGCAAGAAATGCTGCATTTAACGAGTGTCTCGTTAAACATGCAACTTGTCAGTGTAAAAGTGTTTGGACACTCAGGATTTTAACACATTTCTGTGAAGCTTCCACACAACACAGGGCTGAAATGAGTGCTTTCAGATTAACAGAGTCTCATAAGGTTGAGCGTCTCTCTAGCTGACAGTTTCTTTAGCAGCTTAAAAGCAAAACAAAAGTTTAAAAATCCATCACTTGTGTTATCTGCAGAAAATATGACAGAAACATTTAATATCACTTGTATACAAGATTCTTCTGCTTTCCAAAATATCTGAGAAACCTATCTTTAATCATTCATTCATTGACTTCTGTTAAAGAAAACTAAGAGATGTATTTTATTTTTATTAGTCTGTTAATTTATTTATTTATTTATTTTTTTGACAAGTACAATTTACAAAATGATGAAAATGCACATCTGGTTACTAAAGTTGTCTTCAGAATAGGGATGCACTGTACTGACCATCTTTTATTGAGTATTACTGTTTTGGGGGAAATGGGAAAAAAACAACAAATTAAATGGACAGAAAAAAATATATTTTATCCTTTGTTGGGCAAATTGTCGTCTTGTTTTTTCTGATCAGATGTCAAAAATCCAAAATCATTAATTATATTTTCATACAAGACAAAGCAAAGAAGCACATGATTGTCACCAGTTATATTTGGGTAATTTTCTCTGAAAATGTTGAAAATAAATCATCTGTAATTAGAAAACTGGGACGGGACTAGCATTTTGTTTAATATCCAGAGTCTCTTCTTTTTTGGTAAGCTGATATCATAGAGAGTTAAAAAGGAAGTGTCAGAGCAACAGTAAGACCAAAGCCTGAAACATACACTCAGCTACACCATCTTTCTCTGATTCCTCTTCCTGTTCATCTCATCCTTCCTCATCTCCTCAGTCTCTTTGCCGTCGTCACTAAAGGGAAATTCTGCTGAAATCATCTATGGACTCGTGCTCACATAGATGTTCATACTTGGAATTTCCCAGTATTCTTTTATAATTTGGATTTTTTTCCCCCCCTCATAGATAATGTCTATACATTCATTTCCTTGTTGTCCATCGACCCAGTATCATCTGTGCTGGTTAGAATCAGAGCGTAACCACGTGGGTGGTTACTGTAACATATTCGGTTTAATAGTTAATGAGCTCAGTTTGTGTCGTTTCCCCCTCTCTGCAGGAGTCTCTGTGACATCAAGCAACACAGGAGTACCAGATATTTCAGGGTCTGTTTACACAAAGACGCAGGTAACTACAGAAATATTTACTCACAGGATATGCTTCTGCTTGTCTTGTAGCAGCAAACAAAAAAACACTATAGTGGCCCAACTGATTATTCTTCTTCCTGGTCCCCTGCAGTCGTTTGAGAAGCAGGGCTTCCACGCCGGGACGCCAGCCGCATCATTCAGCCTGCCCTCTGCGCTGGGCAGCGGGGGCCCCATCAACCCTCCTGCCGCTGCCGGCTACGCTCCAGCTCCATTCATGCATATCCTGACACCACACCAACAACCCCACTCTCAGATTCTGCACCACCACCTGCAGCAAGACGGACAGGTGCAGTGTGTATATATAAATGCTTACGTATTTGAGGTCATGTGATTTTTAGAAACAAGCTGAGCAAAAAAAAAACACATACAGGCATTATTCGTTGACAAGGAAACTCCACCCAGTGAATCAAATAGTAATGATCAACAGTCTGAATGAGCTCAAAAATGCATAGACTGAAAGTAAAAGATGGAAGTGTGTCGACATCAGTTTCCCCGAGCGGTGACCAATGCAGCGACAGCTTTAGAGCCTGAGATCGGGTCGGCTTGACCAAAATTTATGGTCAATGCTGAAAAATGAGTGGGTGACATCACTGTAGCTCCATCTTTTATATTCAACTTCCAGTCTTTTTGATAAAGCACATTCAAAATAAATGAAGTAGCACTTCAGCATCATGCAGTCAGACTGTTATAAGTAGTAATACAAATCTAGTGAATTGCCTATAAAAGATTTGTTGGCAAGTTCATTAAGTGTTTGTGGTTTCACTGTGACATTAGCTGTGCTGCTTTTAGGTAAACACATGGCACAAAGCGGCAGCTCACTGATGAACTTTGTGACTCTCCTCCACAGAGCGGCACTGGACAGCGCAGCCAGAACGCCTCCATCCAACAGAAGTCTCAGATCAACAAGTCGGCGTACAACAGCTACAGCTGGGGGGCAAACTAACATCCACTCACGGGACCTCACCCCGCGCAGTGTCAAAAAGCTGGGAGGGGTGGGAGGCTCTTCACTCCTTCGGCAAATAAGTCTCCACGTATAAATCCCCGCTTCCTCCTGCAAAGATTTCCCTCCAGTCTCTTGGCCCAGCACTCCCACAGCTCTGACCGCGGTCAGAGGAGGTGCTGTGCCGAGAGAACGAGCACTGTTAATGATGCATGGATGGATGGGTGGGAGGGACAGGAGGGGCTTTAAAAGTGAGGGGCGATCGGAGATAAATGGTGATAGAAGCAAACCATCAAGAGGGTGAAAATACTAAGTGTTGGGAATTTGTATCGTATTAATCTTCCCGCCCCTTGCCCCCCCCCCCCCCCAACATTTTTTTCCTTTCACTTGTAACATAGAACTGTTTTTCTAAAAGAATGAACGTTTCCTGTATGGTCTTTTTTTTTTTTTTTTTTTGTCTTTTCCCATTTTTTTCCCCACTGAAGGGGAGGAATGAAGTAATCTCTAAAAGGGGGTGGGGGCAGGCTGGTTTTGTATTTTAGACCCTCAACTCCCTGTTACTTAACTTTTGCCGGAAATTCTTCCCTCCTGAACAGTTTCCAAACACAATAATTTGCCGTTGACTTTTTTATGTTTTGGGGGTTTTTTGTTTTTGTTTTGTTTTTTTATGTCATTTTAAGTTTGCAGAAACAATTCTATAAATTGGTAGAGTTGTGAATTTTATTTTTTACCGAATATAGATATATTATATATAAAGACATATAAGCAAGCTCACTGGCTTTGACTGTGAGGAAAAAGTGTGTTTGTCATGTGACTGCGTGCATGTTTGTACACACGGAGGGCCATGGTTACGTACTGTGCTTGGGTTTTTGTTTTGTTTTTGGTTTTTTTGCCTAGCACAGGTTTTCCATTATCCAACACTTGTACAGAAACTTTTCCCATTAATTATAAATATTTCATAAGGCCCCTCTTATTTTGAAAGATGAGAATGATTTCCAAGGCCAATACACACCCGGTCTGCCTTCCAGTGTGAATAATTTTGTTTCTGAGGCCCTCCCTGCCCTGCCACCTGTCCCCCCAACATTGTAAGGAAATCTGCAGCATTGAATACTGATGGACAGAATTGTACTATGGGTTTTTTCTTCTTCTTTTTTTTTTTTTGTCAGTGATTTTTTTTTTTTTCTTTTTGTACTGTGCGTTTTTAAAAAAAAAAAAAAAAAAAAAGTTTAAATGGATAAACTTGTCTTGTACATATATATAAAAAAAAAAAAACACAAGTACTGTAGTCCCTGTTTGTTCGATGGCTTTCTTCTTTTCCTTCTTAAATCCTTGCAGACTTGTTAGCTTTTTTGTTTTTGTTTTTTTTATTTTGTAAAAATATATAAATATTAAGTAAATAAACAAGAAAAAGACATTTTCATCATTTTGGATGTGAATGTCTTTTTAAGAAACTACATTTCTCATGTGGCATTTAAATACTGCAGCATCTCTTCACTGTCATTCAGTACAAGCAGTTCATGGATGAAGTGCTTTCCAGTTGGTTTCTGTTAGTGGGCTCAGTCACAACAATATCCAGGATGTCAAGAGTACCAAATGAAACTCCAAACTTATAACTACATCACACATTTTTTGGTCATGTAATGTGTGGTATTGGTTGGTATTGGTTCGGGGTTTTTCTTTTTGTACATTTTACCCTCCATCTGTCTTGGATACACTTTAGCATTTTATGTTTCTCCATGATATATTTTCTATCCCCTCTAGATATGCATCTTGGCATCTTTCTAGCAGGCACATCAGAGACAGAACTGTACTTTTAAATGCATCCCAAAGGTGCTCTGTTGAATTAAGGTCTTTTACTGTATTAAACGCAGCTAAATTTTACTTTACTGGCTCAGGCTTCAGACTGCTCTAAACACTTGGTCTCTATTAGGTTTCTTGTGCCAAGCTCATGTCAGCTTAGTATGATTTTTTTTTTTTTTCCCCCAATATGTGATTACACCTTGCAAGCACTAGCTTATGTTTTTAGAAGCCAAGTGAGTTAGTGAGTTGCAGCCAGTCAGAAGACATTGGGCTCTCAATGAGTGGGCTTGAAAAGGGTCATTCCCGCCACTGGATGAAGTGAGACGTAGCAGAAATTGGATTTCTTAAACTCTGAATCATGCAACGCTTCTGTATTGGAGCATCAGAATAAAAAAATACTAAAAGCTGTGAATGTTCTCTCTAAATGAGCTCTGATCCAATTTGGCATAATTGTATTATACTCTGATTTCATGAGATATATATATAAGACCCATATACACTTACCAGTTACGCCTTGCTAGCAGCAGATTGTACTGTTATGAAGGGGGGCTTCATAACTGCTTAATTTTTTTTCACGGCACTGGAAACATTCCTCAGATTTTGGTCCCCTTTGACATGATAGCATCACACAGCTGCAGAAGATATCCATGCTGCACCTCCATGATGTTCCACTGGATCCCAAAGGTGCTCCATCGGATTGAGATCTGGCGACCGTGGAGGCTGATTTTAAAAACTCATTGTCATGTTCAAGAAGCCAGTTTAAGGTGCATGAGCTGTGTGACTTGGCCTGTTAAGCCGCAATACTCAAGAAGGCTGTGTTTAAATTGTACTAAGGGGACCAAAGTGTGCCAACCACCAGCAGCAGCCTGAACCACTGATATAAAATGGTTCCAAGCTTTCTGTTGTCAATACCAAATTCTCACCCTACCATCCAAATATGCAGTTGAAATGGAGACTTATCAGAAAGGCAACTTTTATCCAATCTTCTGTTGTCCATTTTTGTTGACTCCATGCAAACTGTAGTGGTCTAATTCTGGTGTACCCTTCAAGGTTCAAGGTGGTTGGTCGTACTGTTACCTGAATCTCAACAGTGCGCTTTTATTTCGAGTGCCCGTTTTATCTATTATTTACGGTAAAGTAACGTTACGACAGATTGCGTCATGATAAATCGTCTAGAACGCTTTACGACAGTGTTGACAGCTGTAGTACTTCTTGGCGAGTTTCTCTAGTTGGTGTCCGTTGCTTGCACATTTTAAGTTATGGTTTAAGTGTCCACCAAAGCTGCAGTTAAATGAGTGTTTTTGATTTATTTCGCGGGTTCTTCGGGGTACCCGGAGGCCATTATCGTGGCCGGAGGTGAGTTTATGGCGTCGGAGTATGTAGCACTCGGCTACGCTAGCTGAACTTAGTACACTTTCTCTGCGTGCAGCTATGTCAGGGACAAGATTAGTGTTTTCTGCCAGGAAAACCACAGGGGTCCTTCAGCTAGATTTTGGTGCTATTTATGCTCACGGAGTTAATACGATTGAGTACTTTGAGGTCTGTTTGCTGGTGGCATGTTGTAACGCAGTTTCTAAACCAAAGGGAGATTTCAAAGTTTGTACATTTGTGTTACTTCGTCTATCAGGGACCCTTTCTTCGATGCCATGACTCATGACGACGATGAAGATGAAGATGATGAAGATGGATTCCACTATGATGGGTTCAGAGGGGAGCAGCAGGACCCATTTGACAGCGCCTGGAGGTTTGGCTTCAGTTTTGGCCCGGACGGGATGCGGATTCAGGACCCCCCGATGTTTGGCCACGTCCTCAGGGAGATGGAGGAGATATTCTCTCAGCTGGGTCGTTGGGAGGGACATCCAGAGTCTGGACGCTTTGGTATGAAAACAGACCCACGAGCCCCGTTTTCATGTTGCTTGTTTTTAACGAAATGTAACAAAACAAACAAACAAGTATAAAAAGTGTCAGTAAAGATGTATGGTGTACAATTCTTTCACCCTGGAAAAAGAAATAATTAAAATTGCAAAGTTAACCATAACATCCATGCCCATGAAGACTCAAATTCTTACCACAACTCGACATGTTCCTCTCCTCTGTGTTTAGCCTTTTTGCTCTTTTGCCCTCTTTGTGTTTTAGATGTTCCCCACATCATGCCACCACCACCGTCTCAGGACAGAGCAGAGAGAGGACGAGGAAGCTCCAGTGGAAACCCTCTGAGAGACTTTATGCTCAAATATCCTGACAGCGACACACAACAACGATCCAGAGAGCCCCGAGGTGATCACAGACCTTCTTATGAGTCACCTGAATTTCATGGCCGGACCCCTTTTTCCAGGGTAAAGGAGATATTCACTCCTCCTTCTTTGTTTCTGTTGCAACACAAGCGGTTGTATATTAACTGAGATTTTTGTATTGTGTGTTTAAAAGTTTAATGATATTTGGAGACACAAAACTCCACAGGAGGAGCACAAAGGTGACAGAGGTGGGTGGTGATATTTACATTTTATTTGATAATTTAGTGGAAGCTCTTTTAGATTGTGTCAAATTTATTTTCTATTCCCATCCTGATCCTCTCAAGATCTGGACTCGGCTGTGTCCTCTGATGGCTTGGATCAGCTTCTGACGCCACCTGCTGGTCAGGCACCCAACCAGCCCAGAACTCGGTCTTTCTTTCAGTCTGTCACTGTCACTAAGGTGGTGAAGCCTGATGGGGTGAGTGTTTCTTGATTCTGTAATAATACGTTCATAGTGATTCTTTTAATAGTTTTGTCTCCGATTTGATGAGCATTTCGTTTGCGTGTGTCAGAGTGTAGAGGAGAGGCGTACGGTAAGAGACGGCCAAGGCAACGAGGAGACCACGGTGACTCGCTCGGGAGGTTCTGGGATTTCTGGGGGACCAGATCATTCGAATGGACCCGTGCTGCAAGGTCAGCCTGTCTCCGGTGTGTGTTCTTTGAATTGTTTATCTGACACACACACACAAAAATCATGTATTTATTTTTGCTTTTCTTCCAGGTGATCCCCACCGCTTCTCAGACTTGCGGGATGATGGCTCATTATTCTCCAGGTTCTTTGGAGGCTTTAAATAAAATGTGAAGGAGTTATTAGAGATGTGAGCTGGCATATTTATATTACGTACCAATGTATGGACAAATAGTTTCACGGTCTTTCTTTGCCAAAACGAATATGTTGGATAAATTCTCGCTGGCTCATTTAAGATGAAACTGGAAGTCCAGATTGATCATGCAGGATCGAAGCTGCAGATCCTGAAAGCTATTGATGGTGACACACTGAGACACATGAGACGCCGAACAATTCACGTTTCCATATTTTATTTTTGTATTGTCCTGTAGACAAGCCTGTGTGGATGTGAGTGAGTGAAGAATTAAATAAAGACTCTTAATATATGTACAAAGTTGTTTGGCTCATATTTTTGTTAGTAACAATCTTCAGATTTTACATGATCAAAAAACAAAACTGCACAATATACTTTTAAGCAGAACTTTAAAAAATGCTGGATGTATCAAATATGATACAATTTTAAATTCATATAATTTTTAAAAAATTGACACTAAGTTCCATAAATGCTTCATTTTCTGGCAAATATTTCGTGGTTCAGGCTCTACAGGGTCACAATTTCTATCACGCGTCATGTACAGCTCATTTAAACCTCGAGTGAGACGGACCAGTGGCGCTGCCCTTTCTCTTAATTTAAAGGAGCTTACACATTTAACCGTTTGTGTCAGTTTGTCAACACGATAAAGAAATGCTGTTGTTTTAAATGAAGGAAATCTGTCAGTCCAACTGTTTGCTTAAATTATCAGAAGTAAACTTGTAAAATTACAGAGTCAGATCTGGTAGCTCAGCGCCCGGACTGTGCTGTAATTATAAAACAAAGTTTTTCTTAATTCAAAGAAAAAGTTGAATGTCTTTTTTACTGTTACAAAAAGAGACATTTCTGTAGCAGACGGTGCTAAATTTAAACTTTTTTTGACATTTCAATGTTTGTCGGTTACTTTGTTGTAGTGAAACATTTTTTACATCTATGCCCTCCACATTTTTCTAAGCCGTCCAGGCCTTCTGTTTGACACTCCTGCTTTAAATGGTTCCTATTATAATAATCTCTGGCTCCATATGTCTAATCTTGACTGTAGCAGAGTAGCATTTTTTTTTTCTTATACTGTACCTCAGTGCAGCCAGTGGAAAAAGTCATTTTTGGTTCATCTGTCTGGTGAAAATCTCAGAGGGTTTGAAAAGCAGTTAGTTGAGCTTCTGTGTTCAAAGCCAGAGAGGGATATAAACTAAAGGTAATGCTTTAGGCTAAAAGGAATAAAATAGAAATACAGATGCTTTTGTTTTTTTACATTGTAAAATTTTAATCAAGAGGAAAAATGGACAGGCAAAACAAATGACAATAGTTTGTCTTTTTTCTAATCACACAGAATAAAACAACACATAAAGCAACTAACTTTATATTGAAAATTGATGCATATGTAAACAAATGAAATAAATTATTTTCTTTTAAACACACATTGTATACGAGGGTTAAATCACAGTGACAGTGGGCAAAGAATTAAGAAAATCAGTGAAAGAATAGAAGTTGAAAAACTGATAAGCTGGGGTTTTTTTTCTACTTTAAGAAATAATTTGGGGATTGGTTGCGACATTTTGTGAAGAGCGGTGTAAAAGTCAGTATTTTGTGCTGCATAGAAAAAACCTCGAGCGGAATGATGGGAAACATTTAGTTAGTTTTTAGCTCTGCATAGTTCTAGTTACAATAACCTTGGAAGAGACACATGAACAAACAAATGTTCATTTTTGAGTCTAAAAGGGTTTTGACATGAATTCAAATTCTTCCAAGTCTATCAAGTCGTCCTCTGTTTAACTGTGTTTACGAGGGTTTATAAAACCTTTTCTCATTGGTCCATCCTAATCAGCTGATTCCACATAAACCTTTTCCTTCTGCTCTGCAAATGAATGTTTCTATGTTTACAGAATATTAATTTACGTTTAATCAACATTAAAAGGTGCTGGATACTCTTTGATGTGCGAGGTCTTGCTGCTGTGCTCAGTTATTAAGAGGAGCGAGGATAACGGGATCTTTCCTGTGGAAGCTGGCTTCATATATATCATAATCAAACTATTGTGATGCAGATACAGAATTAATGTGATCTGATACTGCATGGATGTTTGCATTCACTTAAATATCAGTTGTACTCTTTTTATTTTATGTGTTATATTTGTTAGAAAAAGAGATTTTAACCTCAATGAGTCTTTTTCCTGGATAAATAGAGGATATATATTGTGTGACAACAACTTAATGGGTTAAAATGAAGTTTAAATGTTGGCTTAACCAAGCAGAGCTTCATCTTGTATCATGTTATCAATGATGTGAGGTCCTTTTGCTGCCCTTTGTCCACAGATCCCCTGTGATCTGTGAACCGTATCTGGAAACCACTACAAAAACCAGAGCCCCTCTCACAAATGTCCTTTTGCTGGGTGGGGTGAGAACACAATCCAGTCTGTTTATATAGAAGTGAATTTCAATCTGATCATCTTTTGACATGTTTAATTGTTTTTATGTTTTGTAATGGTTTTCATCCTGTGGGAATACTAATGATCCATGTTGAGAAATACAGCAGTGGACGTAACATAACAGAGTTAAGATCTTAAATTTCTTTTCCGATCAAACGGGAACAATCAGATCCAGTGCCAATCAAATGAGGAAACCCTCCACTGAGCCACTATCGAGCTTTTGGTGCACGGACTGTTTTTCATCGTGCATGCTGTGATTAAGATGTCCTGAGTCCACACACACTCATAATCACGTCAGCAATTCCATAAAGTGTGTGACGTAGCCTCCACCTCCAGCATGAAAGAGCAAACTCTGCTCAGCCAGGCAGACGGTGCAGTTCTGCGGGTCAGATCCACCCGATGACACCTGCCCGGCTCTGAAAACACACCTGCTCCCAGAGTGTGCAGAGGAAAGCTCGGGGATGGAGAAGCTGCTGAAGAAATGTCAGATCAGAAACCAGCTGATCAGGGAGTGCATGGCCGAATGTCTCGGCGTCTACGTCCTGATTGTAAGTGTCCTTTTCTTCTTCTTCTTTCATACATTTAAGATATAGTTAGCTGTGTAGGAACTTAGTAGAACTAAAAAAACCAAATAAAGTTCCCTCAGTTCAGCCAGTAAACTCAACATGAAGTGTGTCAGTCAGTGAGTTTCTTGTAAAATGCCCTGCTGGTTTGTTTAGAGCACCTCATAAATCTGCACGGTGTATAACTAAGGACTTTGGCCTGAATGAAACGGACAGAGGGTGACAGAGACTGCAGGGGAGGGGGGTAAAATTGGACTCTCTTGTTAGTGATTTCCAAAGGTGATATTCTTTTGACTGCAGTGCTGTTGTTTTATCTCTAATGACTATCTGGGGCAATGAACATTTACAGCACAAATCATAAAGCAGCTCTTTAGTTAAATAATAAAAAAGGATATTGCACCAAGTGTGTCAGAACATGACGTCTCTACTGTACTGCTTGGTGAAAACATTCAAACTGGACGTATGTTGAATGAATCTAAGCAAGATAAAATGCTGCTATTGTGGATTAATCAGAAAATTAATTTGGGGAGGTTCTGAAGATTTTGAGAGTTTGGATCATTATCCACTGTTTTGATTGGGTACACTCGTGTATATATTCGACTGCTAATACTTCTCTTCATTTCATGTAATTGCAGCTGTTTGGATGTGGCTCTGTTGCCCAAGTGGTCACAACTGAAGACAAAAAGGGCCAGTACCTCTCAATTAATCTGGGTTTTGCTCTGGGAGTAACATTTGGGGTCTTCGTGTCTCGTGGAGTATCGGGTAAGGGACTGAACGAAGTTACTGGGTATGCAGAACTGTGATTAGAAGTTTACATACACTAATCTTTGCCATTAATGTCATGGTAATTTGGGGAATTATTTCTTTGCACTGTTCTTTTTCCAGGGTGGAATGATTGTACAGCATACAGCTTTACTGGTTTCCTTTAATCCACACAGGTTCAAATATATACACACACTGACTTAAATCTTTTAATAAGCAGTGCTGAGGGTTTTTTAACTTGACAAGGCCAGAGCCTTTTAACTTCTTGCTAGTGATCATGAATCACTACAGTTTGATAGTTTTTCATTACCAGCATGAAGGACCATGACTCCACACCTGGTGACAAGTCTTACCCTGATCAACAGTTTTGTCTGAATCCCAGTTTAGATCATAATACCTGGAAATGAACTCTTTGATGTGTTGTTTGGAACTGCCATTAATATTATACTAACCAAAAATGCAGAAAAAAAACACCTTACATAATAGTTATAAACCGATTTACATGTCATAACTGTGATTTCTTTTTAAGGTGCTCATTTAAACCCCGCTGTGTCTCTGAGCTTGTGTGTTCTGGGCCGCCACTCATGGGTGAAACTGCCTTTCTACATCTTCTTCCAAGTGTTGGGAGCCTTTCTGGCTGCGGCTACAGTTGCTCTGCAGTACTACGGTGAGTGTTTAACAGTGAGCCCAGGTAATCATCAATTGAGGCTTTTCAAATCAAATAAATCATGTCGTTTGATAAGCTCTCGCTCTCATGTCATCTCATGTTGTAACATCATTTGTGTTCTGGAAACGTTGCGGCTCTGAACAATAAACTGTGTTTTGTGTCTGTTTGATGATGCGTGCACGATGAGATGTTTGCAGACGCCATCCAGGCGTACAGCGGAGGCGATCTGACGGTGACGGGTCCCACAGCCACAGCAGGCATATTCTCCACTTACCCCGCTGACTACCTGAGTGTGTGGGGAGGTATCGTGGACCAGGTCAGCCCTTGTTGTTCTTATTAGTTAAGGATCATTCATCGTTATCAGGCTGACAGATAAAGATGGTATAACTGCTCAATAGTCGTGTGAACCTGTATAGTTATATCGCCAAAATATACCAGGCTATTTCCTGAAACTTGGCTCCACATTGATAAATGGAGTAACTTGCCTTGACCCAGCCAGGAAACGCTGTTTTTCCATCAGATAAAATCATACTGTTCCTTCCTGCATATCTCTAACTATTTCCATGGCATCCAGGTGATCGGCACGGCCGCTCTGCTGCTGTGCGTCCTGGCTCTCGGGGACCACAGGAACAGCTCCATCCCTCATTATCTTCAGCCTGTCTTAGTGGGAGCAGCAGTGCTGGTCATTGGCATCTCAATGGGCTCAAACAGCGGATATGCACTCAACCCGGCAAGAGATTTTGGACCTCGGTTGTTCACCTACATTGCCGGTTGGGGGGCGGATGTTTTCAAGTTAGTGGTTTCACTCCGGATGCTCTGCTAATTCCCATCTTATTTCCTCACATTGTTGACTGTCTTAAAGCAAACATGCTGTCTATTTTTGCAGGGCCGGAAGTAGCTGGTGGTGGGTGCCCATAGTGGCCCCTTGTGTTGGGGCGCTTCTGGGAACACTGATCTACGAGCTGATGGTTGAAGTCCACCATCCTTCAGAGCAGTCCCAATCCCAGGCCTCGTGTCCGGAGGATAGAAGTGACAAGGTGGGGGTTGAGCTGGAGGGGGTGGAAGCGGACCGTGAAAAGCCAACTTAATGATTAAATCGTGTAAAAGAGAAACAACACTGTCTGTGTGTGGTAAATGCTTTTTAGGCTGTGATAGTAACTGAAATTATCTATGTAGAGATAAATGATTGATCCAAACAGGCAGCTTCGGATTGCCTCCAACTTATTTTGAGGCATAATTGCACCAACACCTACAAGTAAACTTTAGTTTCCTGGTTATAGTTTCTTCCACAAATTAGACGGACTGCCATAAGACAGTTGCTTTAGTTCAAACGGCCTTTGAGTTATTCAGAAAATATCTTAATATCTATTGTTACAGATGTTTTTACAAACATTGACATTTTGCCAGATACTCAGGTTATTGGTTCACTTTTCATTTAGCGTTACTGTCAAGTCAAATGAGTGAAAGCCAACCTCCTGCAAAAAAAAAAATGATATCCCCATTAGCCTCATGTTTGCCTTTGTATTTAGTGCCAACTGGCAAATGTTTGCATAATACTGAGTAAACATCACAAAATGAGCCCGATGTCCAGTCACTTAGTGCCTTAATGATTTGCTAATATTGACCAATGGAATATACGAGTCTATCTATATGTAGTCCTATATGCAACCTTTTTAATAGAACATGTGTAGCAAATCTATGCTGGACAAACTCTCCAGTGTTTTCCAGTATTCTGAGCGGAGCCTGCAGCACATGAACAGATGCACGAAAAAGCTCCAAAGCTCTCACCACAGTATTTCATTCACGCTGAGCTCTGGAGTTTTGGGCATGGCAAAGCTTTAGCTGTTGGACTCACACATGACTGTACTTTGGTATCAGTTCATGGTCAGCTCAATGACCGCAATATGACCAAATCGTCACCCCTCCACCACCGTGCTTCATAGTTGACAAAGTGTTTTTGTCCAAAGGAACAAGTCCTGTGGTTTGTTCAGATGCAGCTTCAGTCTTTTTCTAATTTTGCCATCTTGAACCTTAATATGCTAACTGAGGCCTTTACAGTCTGAGATGTAGCTTACAGGGTTTTTTGCAGTTTCTGTGAGCATTGCACAATCTGACCTTAGTGTGAATTTTCTGAGACGTTCCCTCCTGGGAAGAAATCAGCATTGTGTTTATAGAGGTGCTCGCACTTCCACACCAATTCCTATGGAAGTAGTAAAGGTGGACCCAGGTTTGCAGTCTTGTGAAAACTTGCTTTTTTATGACTGACTGTAGCTGCAAGGGATAAGATTAATTATTATATAACAACATTTGGCTGATTGTTTCTCGTGAAAATTACCTGGTCTGCTTCTAAACTACATAATCAGTCACCAAATCTTTCCAAATGTCAGCTCATCTGACCAGCTGAACACTAAGATTTTCTTTTCTCAGGGAATTTTTAGAGGATTCAAACCAACCAAGTGTGCAAACAGAAAAGCATCGCACCGAGCCCGATGCTGACCTCTGCAGATGAATCCGCGACACGAGCCGGTCGTCTCTTTTACACATTTATTTTGAAACAGCACAAAAGTGTATGGCATTTCAGCAAGCAGACCACGACCATGGAAAAGAAAATGACATGAAAGTTTCCACTACTGAGCTATATAAATATGATATGACATATAAAAAGATACAAACAGAAAACCAAAGAAATCCACTCATAGGCCTCCGATAAAGTGACAGTGAAGGCTGTTTTTTAAACATATAAAAGAAATGTGAGTACAGCAAGCACTGTTGATTTAAAAAAAAAAAAAAAAAGAGAAAAAAAACAACATTTGTTTTCAAACACATTAAGACAACACGACCCCCACGTTCTCCCTCTGCTTTGTAATTACAATGTATAGCTAACTCTGAGAGGGGATTCTTGTTTTCTTTTGGACTTCAAATTGTTTTGAAAAAAAGGGAACAGTACAAGTACAAATACTATACGTATTCACATTATCATAGCAAGTTACTAAAACCAGAACCATTTCTTTTAGTGTAATTATATGTATTTACATGGCAAAACTCGTACACGTATACTACTGACAGGAAGCCTTACCTCTCTTCTTCTAGCTTAACGAGTAACAACATCACACATTAGTCACACTACACGGGTTACCACCTCCAGTAACCTCGCCTCCTAATGAAACGCCTCCAGAGATTCTCATCTCATGTCTCTGTTGCAGGTAAATCACACCATGTCTTGTAACATTTGATGCAATCGACTCACATACACCAACAGCAGTAATGTGTTTCATATAAATAAATATTATAGCAACATAAAACTCAGTGTCAAATTCCCCGTGCCCACGAACGATCCCCTTCATGCTTCAGGATGTCTCGGCACGATGAGTTTTTCCAGCTCCCACAGGCTGGTAAAACTGATCTAATTGCCAGAAAAACAAAAACAAACAAACAAAAAAAACGAGGACATGAAAAACGATGTGAAGTACAAAATATCTGCAGTACAGCTGTGAGGAGTACAGTGGGAGGTGCTATGTATCTACGTATGTGCTACAGTAACAAACAGGCAGGTGGCTACAGTCGGTGAAGAGTGAGTGCTCGAAATGGACACAGTATGGCTGATATACAGTATAAATGCTTTACTCTGGGGGGGAATGGTCCACACAAGAGTCCATCACAGGTGACGAGTTCATTTTAAGTGATCAAACATGCAGATACAATCGCACAGAAGAGGTGCCACAGAGGGAAACTGTTTGTGGTGGCTTAAAAAAGAAAAGAAAAGAAGAATACGACGACTGCACAGGAGCAGCTGTGTTTCATCAACATTCATATTCTACAGTATCGCCCTCCTCAGCCGTGACCCCTCGGGAGATTATCCGTCAGCTTCAGACGACCCCGCCCCTCTTCTACTGGGGCTTGTCCGTCTTGTGTGCCGTGAGGAAGGCCATGCCGTGGGTCCTGAAGTGGGTGTTGAGGTCCGTGGCCTTGTCGAATCGCCGGCCGCACACCTTGCAGCCCAGGTTTCCGTCTCCGTCCTCGCCCTGTGCCTGAGGAGAACCGGCGGCGGGAGAGCCATCTGGAGAGCCTTGGGCGCGGGGGGTGCCGCGGTCCGCGTCGCTCTGGGTGTCCCGCACTCGGTGAGTGATGAAACGGTGTCTGCTGAGAGAGCCGGCCGATGCAAAGCAGACTCCGCACTGCAGGCACTGGAAGGAGGCGGTGTCGCCCCGATGCTGGGGGATGTGGCGCTGAAACTCGGCCCCGTCTTCTGTAGTGAACCCGCAGGGGACACAGCGGAAAACGTTATCTTCCTCCTCTGCCTCACTGGGTCCCACTGATGTTGACGCCATGGACGCCCTGGTTCTCTTTGCGGGACCGCCGCCATCCTCTGTGTTGGTTTCGTCCTCGTCTCCCGCTCTGGCCGCAGGAGGACCGACCTCACCGTCTTGCTCCGAGGAGCTCCCCGGTCCTTCTCCCCCTGTGGCTGCACGCTTCCTGGTCATAGGGGGACCCTGAGAAAAAGGGAGAGCAGAGGCTAAGCAGCTGTGGAGACGATACACGAACAGAGCCTGCCCCAAGAACCTTTACTCACCTGTCCATCTGTGTTTCTGTGATGGAGTCGAATGTGTTTGTCCATTAAGAACCGACTGCCAAATGTACGTTTGCCTTCTGTACAATATCTGAGGAGTAATAATAAAGCAGCTCTATTAGTGACTGATAACAGATAAAGAAAAAAAAGACCATGATCTACACTGAAGACATTTTAAAAAGGCATCAAGTGTTCAGTGCCCTCTGCTGCACAAGCAGTGTAATGGTGCCATTCTTTTTTTTAAACTTCTGCCAAGTTGATGTCAGCTTGGTATGGATTTCCATCTACAGTCACACCTTACAAGCACTGGCTTCAATCAGAAGACTTTAAATTACACACCTTTAACTGGGTTGTTTCAGACAGCGGATGAATTGAAAATAAGGATATTCTTAAACTTTGAATCATACAAAGCTACTCTATTGGTGCTCCAGGATAAAAACTATTGACCGACCATGGAGGTCATCTGTGTACAATGAACTCATTGTCATGTTCAAGAAACCAGTTTGAGTTAATTCCACATCCCTATGTGCCCGCCACAGTCTTTTACAATTTAAGGTTGTGCATAGGTTCCATCTCTCCAAAGTCAAGCTATCTCGCATGTATCCGAATGTGGACCCCTCTTATGATAAGCGTGGGAGTGCAGAGGCTTCCCTTATCCATATGTTCTGGATGTGCCCTAGCCTTGAAGGATTCTGGAGAGATATATTTCAAACCGTGTCCCTATTTCTTGGATACCACATGAATCTTAATCCATTAGTTGCGCTTTTTGGCACCACTGGCAGGCTGATGCACGGTTGACCTCGTCACAGCATTGCACGCTCCCTTGTAGCTAGACGTGCAATCCTACTAAGATGGACGGGTGCCCCTTTGCCCAACCATGCTCAATGGCTGAGGGAGCTTATGTACTATCTGAACCTTGAAAAGAACAGTTATGCGATTAGTAATAACAACGGTAAATTTTACAAGGTGTGGGGGCAATTCCTGAAATACTTTTCCAGCCTTCAGGTTGTGAACCCGACTTCCAGCATTACTCAGTAAATCCTCCCCCCTCTTTTTTTTTTTTTTAGTTATTTGTGTGTTTGTTTTATTTTCTTCTGCTTTGTCCTGTTGTATTTGTGATGGGCTTTTTTGTTTGTTTGTTTTTGGGGTTTTTTTCCTACCTGGCCAGAGGGATGGGGCTACTAAGTGGTATGGGTAGGGGGTAAACTGATAAAAGCAATTACAAGATAGGTGAGTGTGTCATTAATCTGCATTCTATTATTTCAGTTCAATCAATCATCGTTAAACCTACTTGTTGTTTAACAATTCTGTGTGTATCTGTCTTTCTTTGTTGCTTCAATTTAATAAAAATATCTTTGAGAAAAAAAGAAACCAGTTTGAGACGATTTGAGTTTTATGACATGGCAAATGAATCCTGCTGGAAGCAGCCGTCAGAAGACAATGCGGTCATAAAGGGATGGATATGGTCAGCAACAACACTCAGGTAGGCTGTGATGTTTAAATGATGCTCAGTTGGTACCAAGAGGTCCAAGTGTGTCACACCCTCATGCCATTAGCAGCCAGAACCACCGATCCAAAGGCATGTAGGATCAATACTTTTATGCCGACAATCAGGCAACAATTTTCTAATCTTTTACTGTCTAATTTTGGTGAGGATTTGGTGGGAACTGTAGTGTCAGTTGCCAGTTCTTAGCTGACAGGTGTGGTTTTCTGCTGCTGTAGATCGTCTGCTTCAAGTTTTGACATGCTGCATGTTCAGAGATGCTCTTCTGAATACCTTGATTGTAGAAGATGCTCAGGTCATCTTTACCATGTCTGCATTTTAAATGCAATGAGTTGCCACCATGACATTGGCTAATTAGCATTACCAAGCACTTGAACGGCTGTACCTAATAAAGTGGCCAGTGAGTGTGTATTACATTTAATCATACAAATTATAATTGCTGGAGGTTTATATTTGAGATTTACTCGTGTCTATATGCTACCCATAAACAGTGTCTGTACTGAAAGTGTAAGTTACTCACTGGCAATGGAAGACTCTTTTGTTGCCCTCATGAATGACACGCTCGTGACGTCTCAGGCTGGAGGATGTGCTGAATGTGCCTCCACAGATACGACAGGGAAACTTTGGAGATGACATCACACATAAAGACATTTAGAGAAGATTTAAAATAAAATAAAAAAAAGGATACTGAAACTTGGTCTTCCTACCAAAAGGAGTGGCTCTTTCCCTACTTCACTATCCACAATATGCTAAGCTAACAGAAACTAGATTTCGTGCACTTCTGTGTTAATAACATCTGTTCCTTTCCTTCCTGTGATCAACATTATCTGTCACACCTTGCCGTGCTCCATCTTCACGTGACTCAGATAGTCTTCGTTGTCCGTGAACGTGTTCTGACACTGAGGGCAGGTCCACTCGGTTGGAGCGCTTGGATGACTGCTGCCTCCTGTGGTAGTGGAGTGACTCCCTGGAGCCTCGTAGTCCTCATCTGCATCATCGTCATCGTCCTCTTCTTCCTCTTCTTCCTCCTCCTCCTGCTCCCGACCCCAGTCCTCTCCATCAGAGTTATCAGGCTTTCCAGAGGATTTTGACTTGAGGCCAGAGGGACCAGATGCGTTGGCTGGAGCTGAGGTGGGGTTAGCGCCATCGGTCTGAGACTCCTGTTTGGCGGACGGGCCTCTGTGAGCGGTCTGAGCGGGACGACAGGAAATTGTATGAGAAGAGAACAGAAAGGCAAACGGAGAAAATCGTCATCTTGAAGCCGTTCTTTGAATAAATACGATTATTTCGACTACAAACAAGTTCTAATGTCTCTATTGCTAAACTTTTGTACTTGGTATAGAACTTAGGACGAGGTCACCGGAGGGGTACCTCGCTAAGGCCGATCCAAGAATTACTGTCTGCCTTATTTGACGCCGCATTCATTGTAGAAAGCAACGAATGGGCAACACATAAAGGCAAAGGACTAACACATCATGTGCTGTGACATTCTGTATGTACCCACCTTAATATGCTCCATCATGGAGCCTTTTTGGGCGTAGAGCTTGGTGCAGTCAGGACACTTGAACACATGCACTTTTTGCTTAGCTAAATGAGTATCAAAATGCATGTACAGCAAAGGTTTTTGGGTAAAAACTGTATCACACATCACACATTTGTAGATCATTCTGCAAAAGGAGAAGAAGAATTCAATGGTTAGGGATCTACTTAAGAGAATTTTCCTAAACAGTCTGAAAATATTTCTCTGTGGAAACGTTGAAAAGTAGCACACGTACTTGGCCTGTCCTCCGGTGAGCGTTGGGTGCTGGGTGCTGATGTGGCTCTGGGCGCTGGGGGAAGACTTGAAGGCCATGGGGCAGCTCGGGCACTTGTGGAAGACCTCGCAGTGAGCAGTCTGAATGTGGGACTTGATGGAGTTTAACCCTCCGAACACGACCTGGCAGCTCGAGCACCTTGGTTAAGAATAATGAGAATAATCAATAACAGGGATAAAATTAAAAAAATAAATAAATAAATATTCCAAATGTTTATGCAAATTGTGTTTAAGTGTCATAAAGATTAAATACGTTGTTTTTCAATTAAACCCATGGATGGAATTGTGTCTCAGGACTCTTTGGATGATTGAAATCAATCTCGGACACCTATGATCATTAGTTTGCCAGGTGAGCCCAATTAAAGGAAAAACTACACAAGAAGGATGTTCCACATTATTAAGCTGACCACCATTTTCAAGCAATATAGGAAGGAAAAATTATCTCTCTGTTGCTGAAAAGCGTGAAATAGTTGAATGCCTTGGACACGTAATGAAAACCTTGGATATTTCACGAAAACTTAAGCGTGATCACCATAATGTTAAGAGATTTGTGGGTGAGTCAGAGCACACATGGGTCCGTGCAGATAAAAGCACAATGATGAAGGTTTCTGCCAGACAAATACATCAGATTAGGAGAGCAGCTGCGAAAAGGCCATTACAAAGCAGCAAACAGATAATTGAAGCTGCTGGTGCCTCTGGAGCCCTGCGAACATCAAGGTGTAGGATCCTCCAGAGACTTGCAGTTGTGCATAAACCTTATATTTGGCCACCCCTAACCAATGCTCACAAGCAGAAACGGCTGCAATGGGACCAGAACTACAAGAAGCCTAATTTTCAAACAGTCCTGTTCACTGATGAGTGCAACCCTGGATGGTCCAGATGGATGCAGTGGTGGATGGTTCTTGGACAGCCACCATGTTCCAACAAGGCTGCAACATCAGCAAGGACATGGTGGAGTCATGTTTTGAGCTGGAATCACAGGGAGAGAGCTCCTTGGCCTCTTTAGGGTCCCTGAAAGTGTGAAAATGACCTCTGCAAAGTATGTTGAATTTCTGACTGACCACTTTCTTCCATGGTAGAAAGAGAAGAACTGTGCCTTCTGCCAGGGCTGCTCAATTAATCGAATTTTAATCTAAATTACGATCTGGGCTTTCAACGATCATTAAAAATGACTGAGCCGATTATTAGTACCTTCCTCGTGCTTTACTCTCGCGCTGCTCCGTGTGGTAAAATGAGCGCACCTCTCTGCGATTCAAACACGCGTCACAACAATTAAGAGGACCCGAGGGAAGCTCGGAAAGCTAAGCAGAAGTTATTTGGAGAGGATAATGGGTGCTGAAGAAAGAATGCTGTTGGTTGAAAAGAGAGGTAAAACGACTTCAGTGGTGTGGAAACATTATGGGTTCGCGGAGTCAGACGTGGATCAAATAGACATAGTGTGTAAACTTTGCTACGGTGTCGTAGCTGCACCACAGAGCAACACTACAAATTTATTCAATCATTTGAAGACCGCTCACGAAGCGACATACGATCAAACAATGAAGGAGCAGCAACTTTAGTTGACATACTTCAATGTCAGTTTGATGCAATTGTGCATTGTGTGGCTACACAGCTTGCCTTGATGTTTGGTTATTTGTATGCATAAAGATTATGCAGTATTTTGAAGTTCACTAAACATAGATATTTACATTTTTCATTTATTTTTTATATTGCAAACATTTGCACTGTTATCAGTATTTGCACACTATTTTATATTATTTTTTGACAACCTTTAAAGCCATTATTCAATACATTGTTACTGTTATATAAATATCGTCAAATAATCGAGATCTCAATTTCAGTGAAATAATCGTGATTATCATTTTTGCCATAATCGAGCAGCCCTACCTTCTGCAGCAAAATCATCTTCATGCAAGACAAGGCACCATCTCATGCTACAAGGAATACCTCTGCATCATTGGCTGCTATAGCCATAAAAGGAGAGAAACTCATGGTGTGGCCCCCATTCCTCCCTGACCTCAATCCTATTGAGAACCTTTGGAGCATCCTCAAACAAAAAAAATATCAGGGTGGGAGGCAGTTCACATCCAAACAGCAGCTCTGAGAGGCTATTCTGACATCCTGCAAAGACATTCAAGTAGAAACTTTCCAAAAACTCACAAGTTCCATGGATGCAAGAACTGTAAAACTGCTATCAAATAAAGGGTCCTATGCTAATATGTAACTTGACCTGTTAAGATGTTTTTGATTGAAATAGCTTTGATTTCAGTAAAATTAATTGACTAATGCTGCAAATTCAACAAATTACCATTTTCAATTCTCTATAACCTATAAAATGTTTTGAAACTCTGTGTGCGTAATAATTTGGAACACTGCATTTTAAGTTTTATATTTTTGAAAAACATACTGTTTTCATTGGGAGTTTTGTTGAGTAACATTTGAATTATACTCTTATGCTGACTGACATTTGAATCGGCTATTTAGGAAAATCAGAGAAAAATATCATTTGCATAATAATTTGGTGCGCAGTGTATATATATCAAAATACGTTTCCTTTGTTTGCAGCAGTATGCGACTTAGCTAAAAGATAATAACCAAAAAGCTTCTTCACTTTCAACTTTCTGTTTTGTGTTGATTTGCACATTGCCTTCTAAAGCTTTTATTGCACTATAGTAACATCACAGCTTGAAATCAAACTGATTCAAAATATCTGCGCTTCACCTTTAATCATCTGCTCCACTCTGTGTGCACGCAGAGTGAAAATGAGAGCAGAGCAAGACGAGAAATGAGTGAAGCTATATATGATAGCAAAGACGGCAAAGAGTACAATACAGTTGAGCTGTAATGAAACGCGTGCAATAAAACACGGTACATAAAATATAAATATTTACATTTTTTGTCTCATTAATCTGTCTGTCTGCAATTTACCCTTAAATCAGAAAAAAAAAGAAAACTGGCATGAAGGTGTCTATTTCGGCCTGAAGGTTCTTATCTATATCACATATTATGTTGCCTAGCAACCACTAAAATGCCCACTTGCAGTGTTTTGCTTCGGTAACACCTTAGAAAATTCTGGTTATAATTTTAATTTACAACAATACCATCCAATTTATATCAACAAAAGCTTAACTATACGTGCAATATTATGACACCTTTACAACATCTGGCAACCACCTAGCAACCACTTGAAATAGCCTGTTTTTTTCTTGTCTTTTTGCACTTATAAAAGCTTATGAAAGCATGCTGTTGTTTTTCTTTCACAACAATAGCTAATTTAGATCCAAAATAGTTGGATTATACACAACATATTGTTATCGTGTTATCTATCTATAACATGTATCTATAATGCACCTTATAAAAGCATCAGGCCTAACAATATTGTAGCCTGTGCTTAAAAAGCCAGGTAAAAGACAGTAAAAATAAATTATAGAACTGTATGAATCTTTTCTTTTTGCAAATCCTCACAGTGAGAAATATATCTTATTAATTTAACACTGGGATCGGATTGGCAGATCCGCAAAGTTTCAATATAGGGAGTGAGAAGTTGGAAAGTGCTGTCACTTCATTGCAAGACGTTCTTAAGACTCCTGTTGTAGCTTCAGAAGCTTTTTCCACTAGTCACTGCTCCAAACATCTGCTTTGAATCAGACAGACTGATTACGGGACGGATTTTATAGTTTATATTATTTTATTTTAATAATTCTTAGCTACATTTAAGCTGCCCATTAGCAAATGCCTCCCACAGAAGAAGTGGACATGATTTTCAAATACCTTTTGAACTGCCAGTTACTCTATTGGTCATGTCATATGTTAACCATGTTCGATAGCGTGTCCACACCTGTAGCCAATGCGTCTGGCAAAGTGCAAACAGGCCTCGTCCAGGTGGGTCTGGAAGCTGGCCTGCCGTGCGATTCCACCGCACTCGGGACAGACATGAGGCGCTCTGTGTTTATGGATCCTCTGGTGGGCGGACACGGCACACGAGTTAGGGAGCATCATGGGAGGCGAGCACTGTGTACATGTCTGAAAATGGGGAGTAAAAAGGAAAATGAAACAAAACAAAGTCATCATCACAACTTCATAACCAGCAGCACGAAACATACTGTTCACTCATCCCCAATACTCACTGAGTTAGGCGCAGCTCTGATCTGCTGGAAGTGGGTGACCAGCTCCGCTTTGCCAGAGAATTGTGTTTGGCACTCCGGACATTTGAAGTTATTGTACTGCAGCCCTTCAGCCTTCTTGCACGGCAGAGGCATCAGCGCTTGCGGGCCCTGAGGTGCTCGGCGGACGGATCGAGGCTGAGCTGCTGCTGCTGGAGATGAAGTGTCCTTCATTGGGCTGGAATTGGCAGAGATGTTGGGGCCTCCGGGTGTGGAGGAAGGAGAGGAGACTGGAGGAGAGGAGGACGAAGAGGAGAGCAGGCCTGGTCAGCCAAAAGGTGAAAAACAAGAGGAGATAAATGAAAAACGGTCAATGAGGATGAGTTACACATGAATGACATAGTTTTTAGTTCAAAATACATTTGCTTCTTTATTTTTTTTAAATAAAGAGATTAATATTTTAATGAGTGAATCATGGTTAGGTAACAAACAGCTCTTTTTTTCCTTAATATTTGTTGTTTATTCATTTTTTAAAAATCAACAA